CGCCGGGTGTCTGAGGAAAAACCGGATCCTTAAAGAAAACACAAGAAAGCAAGAAAAAAGAAGGAAAGCAAACCCTTATGGCTCTCGACCGTTATGGCCATAAATGGAGGCAATTACCAACACTGTTAACGGTATTTAGCCGGACCAGCCCGTCCGAAATTGAAGTAAAATAAACAAAATTAATATGCTGCCACCCGCCGAGGGACTCGTGGCACGTCTAAACACAATGGACCGCCCGCCGGGGAGTCCTGCACATGTTCGAAGTGGGCGGATCGGGCGTGGCTTGTCGGCCAGGTCGTTCGCCCATGTGAAGATATATGCATATAGTGGGCAAAACAGGGTTACATATTCGCCGCTTATTACTTTGCAATTGGGCCCTGGACACCGGCAGTGAGCACTCCTTAATTGTTATGCATGTGTTTGTAAAGCAACGGACAAACAATTCAGATATGAGATCCCCGGCAGAGTCCTTCAAGTGACTTTGCAGGACGACTCTCAGTTGGCAAACGCATAAAGCATAGTGTTGTCTGCAAAGGATTAACTTTGTGGCTTAATTAAATTTTAATGATGATGTTAGTAAAAATCATAAATGAGCTGGAATTTTTTAAAATAAAAAAAGGGATGAACAATGGTTTATTTATCTAAAAGTGCATTTTTTGAAATGCATTATATTTTGTTATATTTTCCCTATCAATATTAGGTATATAATAATTTATCCTGAAAACACCCAGATTGACAACACTGAATGCCAGGAGCTGTGGCACTTGTCTGGCCATTCATTAAGCCTCGACAACATGGCGTATCGAAAGCATAAAACTAAATATTGCCCAGCATCTCTCGAAATGTCAACAAGCTCGTTCTTTGGAAGGGGCAAAAGCAAAAGCGAAGGCAAAAGCGAAAGGGATCAGGGTTCAGAGATCTGGATCGGCCCACATACTATATACTCGGATATCTGGCCACCGCAATCCCGCACACAAACAACATAAAATCTCCGCCCGTCAGTACTTAATTAAATCTCCTCGGACAAGTTTATTTCACTTTCTCCTTCCCGGCGGGCTGTCAAATTAGGGCTTGATGTGGCCAACTTCAACTCGGGCGGGAAAACCAGCGGCTGTTGCACGAGCTTGTGGCATCGCCCTGGCTAAAACTAATTTCCGCTAGATGATGTCAAGTCATTAAGTTATATTTGGTCAGCTGGGAGAAGTGGCGAATGCTCCAAAAATAGTTTACCACGATGCCGAATACTTAAGGGTCAAAGGAGCAAAGTTCACTCGGCTCAGGACTTGTTGCATACTTTATGGGGCGCCAGTTAACATGATAAAACGGAATTGCTCGTAAAGGGGGCGAAAAACCATGGAAAACTACAGGGGCCCTTCAAACTAAAGTTGGCTAATTGGACTTCATGGGGTCTTACACTAAATTTAATATTAGAAGTTTTAACTATGTGGCTGAATAGCTTGCCGGGGGATATGCAAGTTAAACGGCAATTAAAGTTAGAGGATGGCTTCCAGCTATCTCATAAATTTAAATTTCATTTAAAATAATTGTCAATAAAACCTTATACTCTTAAAAACTTGAATGCAAAGGCTTTAAAGTACCATTAATAATCCACATATCATGTAAATGCCAAGTAAATTCCCCTTGCCACATGGTGTATGTTTGACTTACGTAAAAATAATATAAATTGCTCTAGTTGCTCAAAGTTAAGCCGCATTCTCAAAAGGATTTCCCTGATCCCTCAACCCAGTAAGTCAGTCTGACGTCAATGATGAGCAAATTTGCCTTTGGCAATATCCGAGTGTTTCACTTACCTTTCCCCGCTGATGGGAAACAAATGAAATGAGAAAATCCCCTCGGTTGGCGGGAGTGTTTTAATTTGTCAACCCGTGTTTCGGGACTTGTCGCCAATCCGGGCCAAATCTCACCTGCCAGGTGCGAAGACCAGCTGAGTGCCTGCCTACAGCTGATTAAGCTCATTTATCAAAGGTGAATCCGGCAAGAAGCCGGCATTTCTCCGTTCGGCTCAAGGATCTCACAATTAAATGGCCCAAACTGGGAGGCCTTCGAATCGCCTTTGGCTTTCCCATGGTACGAAAAGTACGAAAAGTTGGTGCAAATATTGATATTGTTGCTGGGTGAATCCGAAATTCGTGAGTGCCCACGGAGTAAAGAAGTGGGAGTGCCGGCTGGAAGGCCAAGGAATTTTGGTATTTGAAAAGTTTCGCCGCGCATCAATTTGGCAAGACAAACATATAATCGTTAAAGTTTTAATTGTACTGTGTAAATGATGTTTCGCTGCCATCTAATTTTAGATAGGACAAAGTTTGGATATATATTAACAAAGTTTGCATTGCTCACGAGGCTAGAATTTAATTCGAAGGGATAACATTTTTCGAAATCTAATAACATAATGAGGTGCGGATAATTCGTACGTTTTGCAAATTAACTAGATATGAATTAAAAGGTTTGCTCTTTAAAAGGAATATTTATCATTCCAATATTTTGCACCTTTTTTGTTCAGTTTAAAGGCCTTATAATTTATGCAAATAATTCAAAGGCATATGTATCAAATATTACACATAATCTCTTTTAAAAGGATTTCCTTCGGGTTTAAAGCCGTGAAGAGAAAGTGATTTTCAACTTTCATGTAGCCACTGCGCCTGTCTATAGAAATTCTCGATTGGCATTTGTCAAATAGTTGGCAACTTTCTTTCATCACCCTTTCCATTTCTCCTGACATCGCCAGACATCTCGAAACTATTGACGTGTTTCACTTTTTTATGGCATGTTCCTCGTGGGACGCAACTTGTGCCCCCTTTTCCATACTTCTGCCATTGGCTTATTACATCGCAAAGTTGATTTCATGGCATCCTTGTGGTGAATCCTCTGCGTTGACAGAGGCCAGGAGAATCCTGCTTGCAAAGGCTCAGAGGACATGACACGAAACCAGTGCTGTCATTTTGCAATTTTTACAGACAGATTCTGTCATAGAACGGAGCTGTCAGGGGCATATTTAAAATACCGGACATAAAAGGAAATACAATAATTGTAACTTTATTTATATTATTTTCTTACCTATTCAAAATAAAAGCATGTGATTAACTATGTTTGTAAGAAATATAAATTGCAGTACAACAAAAATTTATTGATACATCAACACAAAAAATATACCACAAAATAAGCTTCCTGTTACTTAGATCATTTTTTTCTGCTGGTTTTTTTTTGCTGTTTGCTGTCAGCACTAGAAAACACCGCTTGAGTGATTGAGTCCGGCATTTGTAAAACAAATTGTTGTAGATTTCGCCCAAATCCATCTCTGACCCACGCATCCCGCTCAAACAGGCTGAACAAATGAACAATTTGGTGAATTAATTTGATGTCTCGGCTGATTCGGTTCTCGTTATTCGTTATTCGTTATTCGGTGTTTCGGAGACACAGAGATACATCTGTCTGCAGCCCTACCACAAAATAACTTTGCATAATGGAGCGGAGTGAATGGCCTTGCCCCCGAAAAGAAATGCTCGGAATGCCACAGATGTCACATGTGCTGGACAAAGGCTCGAAACAAAGGATACATTTGCCGAATGATTAATTTCAGCTCAAGGAGCATATTGTTCGGATGATGATAACGACTGCGTTGATGTCCTGTTTATCATCGCCTTAAGTTACTTTCTCCAAATTGGGCAATCTATCTAGATGACTTTGAATTATTTAGTTCGGTCGAGAGCTTCGTGCAAAAATGCAGCACATTTTTCATGGAGTTGTTTGAATAAATAAATATTTATTTTTTCAGAGTTCCTACTACAAAATAACTCAAATTCCGAGTTTTCTGTAATTGGTCAAAGGAATTACAAAAAAATGCAACAGAGCGCAGAATTGAAAAAAAAAGAATCCCTGTTAACAAAATTAAGGCCTGAATAATTGTGTCACATTTTGCTAAAAAGCCTTTGCGTTTTTTTATACGCTCTGTTATTGCATCAAAAAGTATGCTAAAAAGAGGCAAACATTGTGGATTTAAAATAACTTTTAATCTATGGAAGCGTAAAATTCAAATCAACGGCAGACACATCCGTATGTGGCATTTTAGTTTTCCAACCTCATTCACAACTGGCAGCATAAAAACTATGCCCTTGGCCAGCATTTAAGCGCACAACTTGTGGTTGGGTAAATAACGAGCTCGTTCGCCGGACAAAACACTCCTCTTGGGGCCATTATCCTGCTGGTGGCAAACTATTTTTAAAGAGCTTAAAGCGATTCCGGGCAGGGCAAAGGGAATTTATGAAATTAGCATAAGCTGAACCCAAACAAAATTTACAACCTTGAGTGGCCAACAGAAAACGTGGGTATGGATGATTTCAGACTCACTGAAGTGAAGAAACGATGGCAATCCAAAAATACCTTTGCACTGCAAAGGGATAAGGAAACGGACAAATACAAATGCAAAAAAAAAAAAAATATATATTTCTGGATGGGCTTTGGAATTATTTATTTTACTTTCATTTGGGCCGCGGGTCCTTTCCGCTTCCCTTTGTCCGACTGTCTGTGTAATCGGCTAGAAGGGCTTAGATAAAACACGAAATGGCCACAAAAAGGAACTTGTCGCTAAGAGCATCCGCACCCCTTCCACAAATATTGCTATATGCAAACAACCTCGGGAATCGGAGTTCGATAACCGGAGTCTGGACCCAATCCGTTGGCCCAAAGGCTTGCTTTTGTTGGCCAAAAAATCTGCCAACGTCTGCAAATAGGGAACGTGCAAATAAATACATGAGAAATCACGCCAGAACAATATAAAAGGCAAATATGCCTTTATTTGGGTATAACAACAACACATGTTTGGTTTGTCTGTAACATAAAAAAAAACAGCAAGAGTGGCCCTTTAAAAAAACGTTGGCTTTATTGGTTGGATTGATTTTTGGAATATTTTTAAACAGAAACTATTTTTAACACAAATAAAAAACATATAAACATTTTCATAAAGTGAAAACTAATATTAAAAGTAAATTTGTTCCGTTTTTATATTACAATTATTTTCTGACAATATATTTCTTAGACATGATTAATTTACAGTCGGTCGATTAGAAACTGGCCGAATCTGACCATTGTGGAGACGGAATGGATCATGTAGATGAAGGTCACGGCCAAGAGGGTGGCGTGGAGGACGTGATCCGATCGCTCCATGTGCTCGTGCCTCCGCTGGTGGACGACGGTGACCATATAGAGGGTGAGGCATGCCACGTAAAAGAAACTGACCATCGCCACATAGCGCAGCAAATACTTGTTGCCATTTAGATACACAATGATGTATATCGAGATGACAACAACACAGCAGCACAATGTGAAGATGATCATGAATATGTTACCCGGCAGGATCTTCAGCGGAATAAACATGCCACTCACGTAGAGCAGGAGGTTTAGCACGAGGACGATTGCCAGGACACCGGCCATCCAGAGAATCGAGAGGTGCGGCCACTGCAGGCAGTTCACGAAGATCATGAGGATCTCCATGATCATGATGGCCAGCAAGTAGTTGCACGGGCACTGGTTGGCCCTTCGCACAAAGGCCAGGATGAGGATGAATCCAACCAATAGAATGAGCCACACGAAACTGGGAACCAGGGGCGAGATCAGTTTGCCAAAGTCCATCTCGAGGATCCTCAAAGGCACCAGTTGGCAAATCACAAAGAGCGTAAGTAGCGAGTGGATGGTGTACACATGGCAGATGTGCTGGGTTTTGTAATCGATGGATGATCTTCGTGATCTCGCAGGACCCAAATGAAGACGAGAAGCCACCGTTGAGGCCACTGGTGTTAGGATAACAGGTGACTCAGACGCCGGTGAATACTTTGGCTTCGGAGGAGGAGGAGGAGCGGCAGGTGGAGGAGCTGGACGTGGAGCAGGAGCAGGAGGTGGAGCAGGAGGCCTCTGTGCCGGAGGAGGAGGAGCAGGCGGCCTTCCAGTCGTCGGCCTCGGAGGAGGTCTTTGACCAGTCGACGGCTTGCGAGGAGCCGTCGAAGGACGTGGCGGGGGGGTTTTGTTTGCTCATCTTCCTTCGCTGTTGTGCCACCCACCACCCACCACCCTTTCTGCGTTTCCGCTGTGTTCTATAAACATGTAAATTATATATGTATTTATGTGATTAACCAGTCGGTGTGTCTACTGTGTGGGATAATTGTAATGTACATAAATGTCACAACAAAAAACTACTTGCTTTTCATAACGTGTCAACAAGGTGTCACAAAAAAATTGGGGGTTTTGTGTACACTTTTATTAATAAGTTTTTGCTATGGGTATTTATATATATAGGAAAGTAATGATACAAAAAATATGATGGTGCCTCTAAAAAAATGACTTGTTAAGTACTTTTATAATAACGAACTGACTTATTTTAGATTTATTTATGTGGAAGTTTTTCGGTTTATAATTAATATGGGTTCAATAGATTTTTTGAGACATTTTCCATTTCGAAGTTGCTTTGCAATATTTGCTATATTATAGTTTTTCTTGCTTAATTCACAAATAAGCAGAAATTTACCAAAATAACTCCTTTTTGAGAACTTGCTCCCCAGAACTCGCAGTGCAGACTGCAAAAACTCCACCTCCTTTCGACTCATGCATATTAAATGGGCATTACGACGGCCAGCACTCGAGTGCTAATCAATGACACGTGCTGGGCTGTCGCCACACTCATTAAGGTGACCTGGCCCACCGATGGCCCACCCAAGTTGCACCTGGCGGTGTGTTTACATATGTATTTAGCGTCTCTTCGGTCTGTGGGCTCTGTGGGTAACTTTTTTGGCCCATTTTGCGGGTGAGGCTTTCACTGAATTTTAATTAGACCTTGCGCTGAAAAGCCAGCACGTGCAGAAACATCGGCAAACACCGCCAAAAGCCAAAGAACAAAGTCAGGAATTAAATAAACATGAGTCGACAAAAGTCTTGAGGCTTAGCCGATGGTGAAGAAGCAACATTGTGTGGTTCGAATCGTTCCCTTAGAGCAACGATTGTGCCACAGATTAGCTTGCTTTGTTCGAGCTCTATCTAATCCCCAACAATCGATTACAATATGGATTTGAGGCAAAGGAAAAGCATCTGGACATTTGGCCATATTTGATAATATCATCTGACCGGATTACTGTCGTAGTAAGCCTCGGCATTGAAAGCCCTACAAATGCCTATCAATCAAAGACCTGCCACTCGCAACAATAATAAGTTTTAAGAGCTTTAAACGGACAGTGCCAATAGCCACAGAAGCCACAACACGCTCAGAATACCGAATGGCAAATGTGAATCGGAAGTGGGCCTCAAGGAAGTCTTAGGAAATACAATAATAATGACAATCTTATTTTGTTGATGTTCGAATGAGCTGCCCCCCCAGCTGTCAATTGTACAATAGATTTATTGTTGTGCAATGATTTGCTTAGAATGTGAACAAATAACAGGCGACCTTGACTCCCAAGTTATGAGATGCTTTATATTTACAAAAAAATAATACAGCAATGAAAATTTGATAAGCAAAGAGTAAGCAAAACCTTTTTTTTTCATCAATGCAAATCAGCCATTTCTTTTCTTAAAGTCTAGGTTCGTTATTAATACCTTCAAGAGAATTTGCCTAAAATGTAATTAAATTTTAATGTCTTCCATTAGGTAATTTCGCTTGGTCAAAATGTCGATAATTATTTTGTACCAATTAAAACGGCCATTCTGCGTTGCCATGACAAGTACTTGAAATTGCTAAGCCGCTGTCAACAATGTATGACTGATTGATGAAATGTTTTTGGCAATTCTTAGCACAGTCTGGTGTTCAGGTAAAATCTTAATAATAATCATTTCACTCAATAATTACCTGGAACCTCTCAGGAGCTTTATTAATAAAACTAAGCCGCTTTTCTTGCCGTTGATGTGGGGTAGAATATTCCATATGCCATTTTAGATTGCACAACACTGCTTTGCCGCCCATTTAATCAGGGGTGTCAGCTTATGTCAAGCCATGTCAATCCGTTTGATCGACCTTGGGGGCTAATAATACTGTTCCCATATCAATTATGCAAGAAAAATCCCTTTTTAAGGACATGCGAGCAGGGCAGGTGTCCCTTAATCACAGCCTACACTTTGGAAAAGTACACAGGTCAATTATTTAAAGGGGAGTGGTAAGGAAACCTTGATTGCCGGCCACTTCTGAACATATAAGCAAGCTTTTTTGTACTTGTTAGTTGCAGAGTATAAGGGTATACTATATTGGTTAAAAAGTATTTAACATGTAGAAGGAAGAACTTGCTTCAACATAAAATTCTGTACCCACAGCCTCTGAAGGTAATTACGGACAGCGGACGCGGTTTCAATAATCTGCCACGCCCATTAAAGGGCTTTATCAGAGTGAAGGGTATCTAATAGTCCATTACTGCGATCTTGAATGTTATGTTTGTGAATATGTGGTTAGGGAACACGGCAACCGGGCTATTTAAGATTAGCTAAAAATAAAAAATGGAATGATTAAGCGTTCTTTTCCAAAAAGGTTAAAATTAAACCCATTCAGCTTTTTTGTGCGACGGCAACGCATTATAAATGCCTTCAGTGGCACGTACCCATGTCAAGCTCATACCGTGATTTTCCGACCGTGCGACATGCAATTGAACAAATAAATCAGCGGGCTAATAAATTTTTAGCAACGCCTAAAGCCGAGGGAGAAATCCAGGCTTCGATAAATGCTGCCATAAATGCTGCCAACTGCCGACTGCCGACTACGGACTACCGACTACCGACTGAGCCATTAAGGAAGAAGCCAAGTGAACGAGGCGAAGGACAAAGCCAGATTTCAGGCGACAAGGCAGGGAGTTACACTTGGCTGAGTTGCTGGAGCTGTTGATGTTGCTGTGCTGTTTCTGTTGCCGCTTTTCCAGCTTTTCCTGCTTTTCCTGCTTTTCCGCTGCCTTCCCCCTAAGTTTACTTTATTGCTGACGCCTGCTGTACCACACGTCGTATACGTGTTGTGCCACAGCAGGGGGTGTCCCTACACTTTTCTGCAAGAATTTCCCCCAACTCTTAACTGCCACCGCACACACATCGAACAATATGATTAAAGGCCATTTTTAGCACCTGTTCTGGCTGTTGATTTTGTATCGGGTATTAATTGCAATTTATTTTTTACGCCAACAATGACGGGACTCGCATGCAATTAAATTATTTATGCATGAGGGCATAAGCTATTTGAATGCTTATTTACATGTAACCGAGCGTGTGCGCATTTAACAGGAACCAATGTCACTCGCAGGAGGAGTCCACTTTATCCTCGAACCATGTTGGCAATCCACCGGGGAATTCAACCCATAAAAGCGAGTTAAATAAATGTAAGATTTCTTCTTTGTTAAATATAATTGTTTTTATTTGATTGCAGTTGTGGTGGCAGAAACCAGGTGAAACAATTAATATAATGTAAGGGATACCATAAAGTCGTTTCATTGTTCTCAGTTTCACGGCAGGCTTTAAATTCAATTGGCAAGCTTAACATCATTCTTGATTCTGATAATTTCTCAATTATATTCGCCAATGTCAAAGGTGCCGACGGTCTGTGTTTAAACAGCTGGAAAGCAGGGCACATATTGTATATGTTCATTCGCTGAAAGATAAAACAAAAATAAGATATTTTTTCATTTAATTGCCAGGCTTATAACAAAAATTTATCAGTCATTTAAAAAACTTCTGTAACCATCATAAAATCAATTTAAAATTGAGTCTGAAAAATATTGCTTTAAGTCTCTTTGTATACAACACTCCTTTAATTAGAAAACCTTTAATAGCCCGCAGTAGCTTGGGATTTTTATTCTTCCTTCTCCAGGTTTTCCTTAATTATTTTTCTCATTTTTCCATTCTTCCCGGCTTAGCCGTGTCCACATAACGAAAAGCAGCAAAGGATTGTCTTTGTGCTTTTAAAAGAATTTCCAAGGCGAGTCTGCATGCGAAATGAAGTCCCAACAATGGGAAAAATACTAAGAACTGCGAGACCGCAAGGTACCGAGAGTACTGAGTATAAATTAAAACCATAGATTACGATTCCCGTGAGCACTTTGAGGAAAGTGTGTCCTTTATCCCTTTCTCGCCGTCGGTCCAGCAATTTTCATGCGAACTTTTCAAGCATAATGTGCCCAGCGGTGCACTAACAAGTCCTGAAAATGCTGCCCGATTGTTGACAACATGTCAAAGTAAACAAAGCCGCCAAGAGCTCAACTTCTCCGTTTTTTATTTTGTTTTGCTTCCGACTCGAATTCCTCCTCAAGGGCTCTCGTCTCCATCACTCCTTTTGCAACGAGTTAAGTGAATTTAATTGAAAGAACAACAAATTAGTTTTCATCGGGGGAGTGAGTTGTTTTGCAGTTGGACGAAAAACTATTACTCTGCGACAAAATGAATTCCAGGAAATGTTGCTTTATTACAAATTGAGAATTACCACTGGCTAGTAAAATTAGTTCGGAATTCCTGTTTATGTTGAGATACTTTGAATATTAAAAAGATTAAAATGAAAGGAATACCAAGGACTTAATGGAATTTTACACTCCTTAGCTATGCTATTTATGAAAGTAAATTAAATTTAATAAAGGAAAGCGACATTAAACTGTTGCCTTGGCAAAGAAAACAATTAGTTACGCAAATTAGCAAAACAAAAGCTAAATTTAAGACCACTATTCACTAAATTATTAGAGTACCAAAGTAGAAATAACAACGACAACCATCGAAACGTGAAGGAAAACACCCACATGCTCTTGGCGGTGAATGGTGTGAAAAGAATTGTACGGGTGCCTCGAAAGGGGCTTCACTGTACCGCCAACGCTGTCGCGAGTGACTCGGAATTAGAACCGGAGGCATTTTTCGTATCCTGAGTGGGAAAGAGGATTCTGTCGTTCTATTGTTGATTGTTAATAGGTTCCCACATAAATTTGCCGCAAGATGCTCATAAATTTTGCCTGTTTGGTGTTATGAGTGCTTACGAATTGTAAAGGGCAGGATAACATACCACGTCAAGTAAAAAAGCCTGCAAAAAGATATGATAACAACATCCTGGCACCATCTAAATTTGGCCCAAAGCAAAAATCAGATAAAGCTATAAAATTACACATTGGAGAGTTTTATTCTGGGAGGATGGTTCTCGAGAAATCGTAATAAAAGTAGATTACGTACAAAATTTTAAAGGCATACTAAAAGCGGTGTCAGTTCAACAAATTTATTTGAATGAGTGGCCAAAGATAAAACTTTCCTTATAGAACTGCCAAATAGAAACAAGGGAGCTTTTGAAATGTTTATAAACAAATGTTGACCATAAAAAAGCTTAAGGACTACCGACTCTCTCCCTGCTTCGTTTTTAATTCGGCATTTATTTCGTCGAATCACTTTAAGGCAGCAGCAAATAAACACTTTGATTGTAATTTCTTTTATTTCAATTGTTAAAAAAAAAAAATACTTCCAAGAGGAAATAGAATAATAGCAGTTGTTTGTAAACTATTATGTACTACTTTGGCTACATTTAGCTGGAAACTTTTACCTCGCAAAATTGTTGCAAAAAAAGTTTTTAGCACTTTCAGAAAAACACAACTGAAATCGGAGAAAAAACATTCCTAAACTGGTTGCAAACTTTTTGTCCGAGTAATATCAAAAGGGAGAGGGTAATTGGTCGAACTTTTCACCCAGACGGATCCTTTATAAAAACATATTAAGAGTTAATTGCGAAAAGCAACATTGTCTGGCTTATGTGCTAATGTTCCACAAAATTGTAATATTTTACTAATTAAGAAGTTTATCGAACTTCATTCAACATACTGTCAGTTTGAAAATGACTTTTTATACATAAATTGAACACCACACAGGCAACTGACACACATCTAGTACAATAACATAATTAAAAAAAAAAGAATATAAAAATAATATATATATTAAAAAATTAGAAAAGAAAATCCAGAAATACCTTTAACATGAAACGAGTCCATGTGGACAATTACACACCAAAGTATTACAGTGGCAAGTGGTCCTGGAATTCGGAGAAGGATTGTCTGGAGTTCGAACCCCATAATGATCTTGAAGACGCAAGGGAGAGATATATCACCACCAATGGCTATAAGTTCCTGCGCACCATCGATCAGGAGGAGGAGCTGATCTTCCGGCAGGCATATGTCCGGGATTCTGGTACATATGACTCCGACACCCTGGTGATCAACGATATCCGCGATTTGGTGCTCTTCCTGATGCCCAGTGATTTCCTCACCTACCGATTCGTGGAGTTCATGCACCGGCCGGCGGTCCATCGGCTCATCCACGCCCTGGTCATCTACTTCGAGTACTTCCTTCGGATGGTGGAGTTCGTCCTGGTGCGACGCGATGAGCTGGCCGATCAGATCCAAAGTGATCAGACGATTGAGATGAAGAAGACCTTCTCGATTTACCTCAGTCAGTATCGATTACTGGTGGCCCGTAATTACAGTGTGATCCTGAAGGGCGAGGGTGATATGGCCAATTACTATCACCTGAAGGAGATTGTAAATATTTCGGACACCAGTCGGGATAAAATCTTCCACGAGCAATTTTTGGCCGTTATGACCCAGATCGTTTGGATCTGCATGCATCGAAGGGCTTACAATGTTATTGAAATGGAGATGAATCGGTTATTTCGATCCGACCACTTTGTGATGACCCGACCGGAGTATCTTAGCTTTACGCCAGCGGAGAGGAGTATCCTGTATGGAAGGAATAACAAGATCGTGAACTATCGCACTCAAATATCACCTTTAATTCAGGAACTGGAGCACGTGGCCGAGGAGGATATGCCCATCCTGTGGATCGGGGAGCGCAAGTATCGGGGCAATGATCTCCGGATTGCCGAGATCGAACTGGAGTACATTGTGCCGGGGCCACAGCTTCGATTAATTGACGTGTCCCACGGGATTCTGGGTCATCCGAAGGCGCTGTACAACACGATCTTGGACTTGGATTGGCCCACTGTTCGCTTCTCGAACTTCTCGTTGGGATATGATCCCTACCACATTATGAGACAGCCTCACCTGGACATTCCCAAGATCGGTGCCTTGAAGGTGCGGAAGATGAGCGAGCACTACGAGCACTTCTACAAGGTGTACCGCATCTACGAGCCGCACAGCCTGCAGTTGCTGTACAAGTGGCTTAAGCGGGACAAGCTCGTCCAGTTCTATCGCTCCGGAGGACTGCTGCTGACCAACGTGGTCTCTCGGTGCGAGAAGGAACTGGCCGAGAAGGTCCCCGTGACCAAGGTCGATCAGGTCATTTCCACCTACTTCAAGGTCAAGTCGAGGTTACGCAAGGGATCGCCCTACGAGCCGGACAACATCAGCATCACGTCCTCGAGGATCGGAGGCTTCAGCTCGCCTCGTCAGAAGAAAGCCACCACTCAGGAATACTATTTCGATTGATATTTTCATTTTTCAGGTGAAGTGTATTTAAAAAATTTTTGAAATGCTTCAAAATTGTAATTTAGTGAACGAAATAAATATATGATACTTTGATTAAATTGAATTAAAAAATAATTGTATGTTAAGTAAATATCTGGAAATAATTAATAAAATCTCGTAAAATAATTCTCTGGTCTTTGATGATTTCTACAGTTGGTTCGTCTACTTACAAGTCCCACTGTTTGTAGTCCCCCATCAGCTGATCCAAAGATAAGGCCAAAATCTTCATCCCACGACAGCCCTATTAATCAGTTGCCCGATAGACTTTGTTCAGTTAAGAGCCACATCTTTCGCACGGAATCATGTCTGTTCCGCCATATCGCCACTTTACCCAAATTGGGGATCCTGTTCTCCGCCAAGTGGCCGAGGTAGTTCCTCCGGAGAACATCGACAGCCTGGAAGTTGATCAGGTTATCGATCGCATGGTGAAGGTGTTACGTCACTACGATTGCGTAGGCGTGGCAGCGCCCCAAGTCGGAATACCGCTACGCATTATAGTAATGGAGTTCCGAGAGGGAAAGCAGGAGCAATTCAAGCCGGAAATTTACGCAGAACGCAAAATGTCCACTCTGCCCTTGGCTGTAAGTAATTCAAAAATACTTTCAACGATAATTTGAATACTTTATTTGAAAAATAAATAATGTCATTAAAAACAAATTGTTAAAATCTGTAGACCTTCTATACATTTTGTTGCACTTTGTTTGTTTTCCAAGTGCAACGCTAATCCCGTGATTTTCACTTCATAAATCATATGCTTGCAGGTCTTCGTTAATCCGGAGCTGGAGATAATCAGCAGCCAGGTAAACAAACATCCCGAAGGTTGCATGAGTGTGAGGGGCTATTCCGCTCAGGTGGAGCGGTACGATAAGGTCCGGATCCGGGGGATCGGGAAGCTGGGCACTCCATCAGAAATGGAACTGGAGGGCTGGAGTGCGCGGATCGCCCAGCACGAAGTGGATCATCTGAATGGAACCATATACGTGGATCGCATGGATATCTCAACCTTTAACTGCATCAGCTGGGAGCAAATCAACGCGGCCGAGGGACGTTCAGCTATTTGGTTCCATAAGTGATTCAAGAGACACGGTTTAGGAAGAAATAATATGTTTTGCTCTTGAACAAAATTATGTTCGGTAATATGCTATGTATTTTTTTAAATTAAACTTTAATAAAGTTCTACTTGTGTTTAAAAGATTTTCCAAAATTACTCAGAGCTTATATGTTATACGTCAGTTTTTTTCCTCACACAAAGAGCGCCAAATTCAAAAACTATATTAATCGATATATCGATAGTCGTCAAGTTTCCCATTCCTAGCCGGCTGTTGACCATAGAGGTTATAAACAACGGACAATTACACAAAATGCTGCTAAAATCGAGGATAAAACTCTGCCCAAAGATTCTGGAACACCGCCGCTTCCTGGTAACGAGTCCACCTGCAAGTCAGTCCTTCAGAAAATGGTACCAACAGCTGTGGACCACGGAGCGCACCAACCTGCCGCCTTATAACCACTTTACCCAGATTGGAGACCCAGTTTTAAGGCAACAGGCTGCTTTGGTACCCGAGGAACACATAAAAAGCCCCGAAATCGAGGCGATTGTGGAGCAGATGGTCAGGGTGCTGAGGAAGTTTGACTGCGTAGGCATTGCGGCGCCCCAGATTGGAGTTTCCCTTAGGATTATAGCCATAGAGTTCAAGGGAAGCATTCGAAAGGACTTGCCTGAGGTGGTTTACCAGACGCGGCAAATGTCCGAATTGCCCCTAACTGTAAGTTAGGATTCTTATCCAACCGAATCTGTGATCTTAACTGTTATAGCCCCTGTCCTTTCCAGGTATATATCAATCCTGTGCTGACGGTGACCAACTATACCAAACTTAAACATCCTGAAGGCTGCATGAGTGTGCGAGGATACTCCGCTGAAGTGGAGCGTTTCGAAGGTATAAAACTCTCTGGCATAAATCAACAAGGAGCGAAAAGCGAACTGGCCCTGAGTGGCTGGAATGCCAGGATAGCCCAGCACGAAATGGATCATTTGGAGGGAAAACTATACACTGACCACATGGATCGCTCCACCTTTTCGTGCACCTGCTGGGAAGCAGTCAACACAAAATCCGGACGCGTGGAGATACCCTTCTACAAGTAATTAAGTCGCAGGAGACAGTTTGGCTTTTTATGTTTGTATGTATATACTTATTGAATGCAAGTCTATCATAATTGTTGGCAAATCTCCCCTTCGGCTGGCCTTAATTATTTAGTTTGGTGGGCATACACTTTCGCAGGCTACTGGTGGCCTTTCCCAGGGCTGCCTTGGCCTTGAAGTACTCCGGACTGTCCCAAAGATCGCGCTTGTCCATCATGTATGTGAACAGTTCGTCGTACTCCCGCTTGAGCAGTCGATGTGAAGCAGCCGTCTTCGAGTACAGCATGTCAACTATCTCTGCAAGCATGTTGCTGGTCTCGTCCTCCTGATTCTTATCCGACTTCTGATCCTCGTCCTGATCCTCCACCTCGGTCTCCAGTCTCCTCATTACGAGATGAACGCTTAAACGGCGCCACTCATCCCACTGCTGCTGCAATATCTTGACCAGATAATTGAGCACGGCCGTACGCAGAATAAACTGGCGGATAACCGGATGTGCAATATTGCTTTGGAACATAACGCCGAAAACCTCCCTAACAAATTCTTAATTAGAAATAAAAAACAAGGGTTTATGTTGTCTTAACTGATTGACAGGAAAGGTAACGGATGTTATATGAATACAATATTCCATCTAACCCATCTGTTTGGCATCTCAATTCCTGTCAGATATCTCTCTATCAACAAATTTAAATTTTCACATTAACACTGAATTTTCAACGCAGTTAACAAACTATAACTCTCCATTCAAAATGAAGCGCATTCATGTGGATAACTATGCGCCGAAGTACTACAGCGGCAAATGGTCTTGGGACACTGAAAAGGATTGCCTTCACTTCGAGGCCCACAATGACCTGGAGAACGCCAGGGAGCGCTTCATTACCACCAACGGTTACAAGTTTCTGCGCACTATGGACCAGGAGGAGGAGCTCATCTTCCGCCAGGAGTATGTGCGTCCGAAGAGCAACAACAGCGATACTGTGGTAATTCGAGACATACGAGATCTCGTGCTCTACCTGATGCCTCAGGAGTTTCTATCGTACAAGTTCGTTAACTTCATGCACACGCCGCAAGTTCACGCCCTGCTCCACTCCCTGATAATATACTTTGAGTACTATTTGCGCCTTGTGGAGTTCGTGCTGATTCGTCGCGATGAACTCTCGGGTCAGATGGCGCAAGTCCAAAGCGCGCAGACCAACGACATGAAGCAGACCTTTTCCGTTTATCTGAGCCAGTACCGATTGCTCGTGGCTCGCAACTACTGTTTAATCATCGGCGGCGAAGGCGATATGGCCAAGTTCTATCACATGAAACCGATTTCAAACATCTCGGCCACGATCCACGACAAGTACTTCCATGAGCACTTTCTGGCCGTGGCCATCCAAATAGTCTGGATTTGCTTGCATCGCAGGGCTTATTTCATCATCGAAATGGAGATGAATCGTCTGTTCCGCTCGGAACACTTTGTTTCTGCCCGTCCGGAGTACCTCCACTTCACGCCAGCGGAGCGGAGTCTCCTTTACGGCAGGAACAAGAAGAACTTTAACTATCGTATCCAGGATTCGCCTTTGATCCAGGAGCTAAAGCTGGTTCTCGAGGAGGACATGCCCATCCTGTGGATTGGGGAACGAAAGTACAGGGGCTCCGACCCTCGCATTGCTCAGATGGAGCTCGAGTATATAACGCCCGGATCGCAACTCTCGCTGATCGATATTTCCCATGGAATTCTGGGACATCCGAAGAAGCTCTACAACACACTTCTCAGCTTGGACTGGCCGGCTGTGCGTTTCTCCAACTTTTCCGAGCAGTACGACCCGTATCACATCATCAGGCGACCCTTCCTGGAAATTCCGCAGTTAGGGGAACTCAAGATCCGGCAGATGAGCGAGAAGTATGAGCACTTCTACGAGCTCAGCAGGATCTTTGAGGTCTGCACCCCTCAGCACATTAGCAAGTGGGTTAGACGCACCAGCCACATCGAGTTCTTCAAGTCCGGCGGTCTGCTCACCAACGTGGTTTCGCGCTGCGAAAAGGAGCTGGCCAGCTCTTCTAAAGGACCACGGGTAGATCAGATCATCGCAAACTACTTTAAAGTTATGTCCAAGATCCGCAAGGACGATAAAGAAGGAGATAGGGAGAGCATTACAACCTTGCGCGCTGGAAGTGTTGTATCGCGCGTGAGTTTATCCAGAGCTTCAAGGAAAACTTTATAATAACTTTGTACCTCTATCGGTATATACATATATACTTTCATAACGTTCGTATTGTACCACTTCCACGAATGTGTCTGAGTATGTTTTACAAAGACTGAAGAGCCTGTTATCTGAAGAAGATATTAAACGCAATAAAAACGAGGGTCAATATAGAAAAAATTTATTTTGGTACCGCCAATCTTAAAACTTAAAACTATATCAATTTATATATGTACATGTTGAATCTAATAATTGGTTACAAATTTGGAATTTAAATATGCAAATGCTTTTGGAATTATCCGGAATATACTCGTAATCCTGATCCCAAGCGTTAATTTTGTCCATTGTCTAAAACAGACCCTCGATTTCTCCGGTTTCCGTGTTCAGATCGATGTCATATATTGCCGGTCTAGTGGGAAGACCCGGCATTTTGGTGACCTCTCCGCACATGGCTACCACAAAACCGGCTCCGGCGGAAACGTATACATCCTCCACATCGAGGATGAAACCCTTGGGAGCGCCCTTGATCTTGGCATCACCGGTGAAAGAACCGGACACCTTGGACATGCAGATGGGAAGGTTGCCAAAGCCCTAATAATAAAGGAAATTCAAGTTAGAAAAATCTACTTCATTTATAAAGTAATCCCGACTTACCGCCTCTTCCAGTCGCTTGAGTTTCTCCTCAGCCGCTGGAGCGAGTGCCACCTTTCCTGCGCCGTACATGGTCGTCGCGATCTTGTTCATCTTGTCCAGAAGCGGCAGCTCGAGATCGTACAGCAATCGGAACTGGTTGCCCAGCTCGCAGGCCTTGATCACCGCATCGGCTAGCTCCACGGCTCCGGCTCCACCATCCGCCCAATGGGTGGACACCACGGCCGCAAAGGCTCCCGCCTCCAGAGCCGCCTTCTTGACCAGCTCGTGCTCCGCTGGAGTGTCAGCTGAGTGGGCATTCAGACTCACCACCACGGGCATGCCGAAGGCTTTTCCGTTGGCAATGTGCTGCAGTAGATTGGGCAGACCCTTCTCCAACAGCTCCAGATTCTCCTCGGTGTACTGCTTGTTCAAGGGAGCTCCTGGCGTGACGGGTGCACCACCTCCGTGCATCTTGATGGCCCTAACGGTGGCTACCAACACCATGGCGTTCGGTTTGCGTCCGGAAGTGCGGCACTTGATGTTGCAGAACTTCTCCATGCCGATATCCGAACCGAATCCTGCCTCCGTGCAGACAAATCCATTCTTGCCCACCAATTTCAGACCGATTTCATCAGCAATGATGGAGTTGCATCCATGTGCAATGTTGGCAAAGGGACCGGCGTGCACCAGCACTGGAGTTCCCTCCAGGGATTGCATGAGATTGGGTTCCAGAGAATCCTTGAGAAGAACAGCCAAGGCGCCAGTGACTCCCAGATCATCAGCGGTTACGGGTTTGCCCTTCTTATCAAAGGCCACCACCATGTCGGCCAGTCGACGCTTCATGTCCTCCAGGCCACGGGAAAGAGCCAGCACAGCCATGATCTCACTGGCCACCGAAATGGAGAAGCGGGTCTCTCGTGAAATTCCCTTCTCGGTGGGCGATTGGCCAACGGTGATGCTGCGCAGATACCGATCGTTGATGTCCACCACTCGTTCCCACATTATGGTCTCCGGATCGATGTCCAGTCGGGCGAAGGATCCATACTCCTCTTCGGTCAGGGAATCCGGGTCCGTCTTGGTTATTCCCAATTTCTGGAGACGACGCAGCTGAATGGGGCTGAACTTCCGCTGACCCTTGATCTTGGGCACCAAGCGATCGTACAAAGCCTTATCCTTTTGGGTGTTCTCGTGGAAGATGCGGGTATCGAGTTGAGCAGCCAGCAAATTGTTAGCCGCAGATACCGCATGGATGTCTCCGGTGAGATGGAGATTGAATTCCTCCATGGGAATCACTTGAGCGTAGCCACCGCCAGCAGCGCCTCCCTTGATGCCGAAAGTTGGACCCTGCGAAGGTTGTCTCAGGGCAGCCATGGTGTTCCTCTGCCTGTGGGCTCCCAAAGCCTGAACCAACCCCATCAGCGTGGTGGTCTTGCCCTCTCCCAGAGGAGTGGGTGTCATGCCGGCCACCACCACATAGTTACCCGCCTCCTTGTCCGCCAGGCGTTCCAGCACCGAAAGAGCAATCTTTGCCTTCTTGTTGCCGTACAGAGAAACCTCTCGCGACTCAAGGCCAATCTCCTTGGCCAGCACTGCGATGTCCTTTGGCTTCTGGGCACGGGCGATCACAATGTCACTGGGCACAGGTCGAAGAGGTTTTACAGGCAGCGGCTGCAGGCTCCACTCGCTCTTGATCAGACGCTTCAGCGATCGAGCCGCCGATCGCACGGTGTTCTTCATCAGCATGGCCACCGTCATGGGTCCCACGCCACCGGGAACGGGTGTTATATGCCCGGCCACCTTAAGAGCCTCCTGGTAGTCCACGTCACCCACCAGCCGACTGCTACTGGCCTTGCTGGCGTCTGAAAAGGATCGATGAATCAGTAGGGTTCTTGGATCACTATGCGCTCATTGGGAGCTATTCTTAAATTAGTGTTCGAGAGAAAGATTTTTGAAAACAAAGTCAGTTCTTATCTTCAGAGGTTAGGATTCCCAACAGGGGGTCGAATGCGTTGATAAGCGACTGAGTGGTAATCAGTAAACAAGTGGAAAAGTTTGGGCTGTGTTATTATAATTGTGGGAAATGTGAAGAAAATTCTTTAATTTTAAAATATGTTTGAATACAAAACTATATCTTAGTGAACATAAATAGATAGATAACCAATAAATTCTGTATCTCTCATAAAAGTTAGAAATATCTTCTCAAATCTCTAGATTATAGATTGTCTGTACTAACCTGGCTTCACATTAATGCCGCAATCGATGACCACAGCACCCGGCTTTATCCACGAACCCTTAACCATCTCGGCCACACCGATTCCGACCACCAGGATGTCGGCACTGCGGGTGATCTCCTCCAGATTCCGGGTCTTCGAGTGGCACACCGTTACCGTGGCATTGGCCCACTTGAGCAGCTCGGCAGCGGGAGTGCCCACGATCTTGCTGCGACCGAGGACCACGGCTCTGGCTCCAGCGATCTCCACTCCAGAGCGACGGATGAGCTCCAGACAGCCCCACGGAGTGCAGGGCAGGAATCCCCCAAGGTCGCCGATGGCCAGCCGACCCTCGTTCACCGTGTGCAGACCATCAACATCCTTTTCGGGGGAAACTGCGTCCGTTATGCGATGCGAATCGATGGGAGTGTCGCAATCCAGGGGCATCTGAACTATGATGCCATGCACTCGCGGATCCTCGTTAAGGTCGTTGATCTGAAAGTATTTATTTAAACATATTTATTTAAAAATATTTTTATCTAATACTTAAGAACACAATAACATTGCAAATACCTATGTTTAAAAATATTGAAATAATACATTTTAGAGGTATGCCACATCAAAATCTGATTAAAATAAGAAAAATTATGGACTTAGAAAACCCATTTTTTGGAGATATGGAAAGGGGTCATAAAAATTTAAATAAAATTTTTTAAAAAATAAAAAATCCTAAAATGTAAATAATTGAAATATAAACTTTCAGAGGTAAGCCACTTTAAAATCTGACAAAAATTTGAAAAGTTATGGAGTTAGTACATTTTGGTCAATTTGAAGCAAACCCATTTTTTGTATCATAAAAAATAAAAAAAATCGTAAAAAAAATAAAAAAATTATTAATCGAAGCTACTATAAAATTAAAAAATTATTAATGTAGTATTAAAACTTATACTTTTCTGTTGAGATTGAATTATATTTGACCGTTGCATAATCCTCTGCAATCGCGCACTCACCTTATCGAGCAGTTCCAATTCGGTGATGGATCGGGGCAGCTGGACGTGGGAGGCATCGATGCCGATCTCGGTGGCCGCCTTAATCTTCATGCGGATATAGACGTTGGAGTCCTCACGTCCGCCCACCTGAACGATCCTCAACCCGGGCACAAAGTCCGCTAATTGCTTTCCCATATCCGCCACTTCATTGCGCAGCTCCTCGCGAATGGATCTGTTTTGGGGATAGGATATTATAAAGCCGCGATCTAATACCCATAGATTATAGCCACTTACTTGGCCACCGCTGTGCCCGATATAATCTTGGCCTCGCTCATCTTGACCGCCGGCTCTGCGTCCCACTCTTCGCTGAAAAATCGTAAGCCCGTAAAATACTTTAGTCGGGAAGACCGAAAATGCCGCCTCAATAGCCACGCCAACTCGGCTCGCGCAACGCAACTGAGCGGAGTGTTCCACGGGTGCCCCTTTCTATAGCCCATAGGTGCCATGCTCGGCCCCTCTCTACTTGTTAATCCCGCTCCCTTATCAGCCAGATTATCGGTTTCGGGTTTCTCGCGGGTCACATCTTCCGATCGAAACAACACCGGCTGACGTATGTTAGCGGCTCTAAGAGCCGCACAACGATCCGTCTCTGGGAGGTAAAGCAACCGCATCAGTGGAAACGGAAATATACACCAGGGCAACGATCGTGGAAAATGTCTGGTAAAAGTAATTTCCATATCAAATCTGTTTGCTACTGATATGAGCCCTCAAAAGTTCAACGAGCTTATAAAACTTGAGTGCTGAGGAAGCGATCGGAAGATGATATTAAAAAGGTTGCATAATTTAAAAGAGTTATTTTTAACACCCTCATATTTTAATGAACTGTACCAAACTACATTTCTACCTGACAATTAACAGCAATTTCCTAATCTATCTAAACAAAAAACTGCCTCGGACCCAAAACATTCTGCACGAGAACCACAAATAGCTCCGGTAAATAGATAAACCTGTCCTTATCAGGAGGTGCCAATTGGTTGGCCCCACAGATAAGCAAAACAATCCAAACATCAAGAGCATAAAAGTGAGATAGAGGGAAAAATAGATTTCGAGAGTGAGAGTTTTGGACTAGACCGAGAGAATTTATTGACATGCGTTTAGTTTATTTTGACGGCTGCTCTCAGTTTGGCGGATCGACTGCGTGTGTTCCGGGCCACTTCCTCGGAATCTGGCACGATGACATGGCGATGGAGTTGCCGCCAGTTCTTCTTGGTCAGCGATTCCAACATCTCCGGTTCGTCAATGGTGTAGTAGCTGGAATACTTGAGGGGAAGGGCATTGGCGGCTCCTGCCAATACATTTCCATTGATGTGACGCTTTACGATGGTGTCTTCCAAGGAGTGAAAGGTGATGGTAACCAAGCGGCCATCTGAACGAAGGATTTCGTTGGCCAAAACCATGCCGTAGTTGATTTCATTCAACTCGTTATTCACAAATATGCGAATGGCTTGGAAGGTCTTGGTTGCCGCGTGCGCGTGTCTTCGGAGCTTATCTCTTCTGGCTCCGCCATCCATGATATTTTCCACGATATCCGCCAGCTGCCTGGTGGTCTCGATTTTAAGGAGAGCCTTTCGTGCGTCTATCAGTCCTCTGGCTATCTTTTTGGCTGCTTTTTCCTCGCCGTATGTTCGCAGAATCTTCGCAAGATCTCCTTCTTCGATGTGGGCTAGCACCTCGGCAGCTGTGACTCCTCCGCTCTGACCACCATCCATGCGCATGTCCAGTGGTCCGTCCCTGGAGATAGAGAATCCCCTGACTGCCTCGTCAAATTGCATGGAACTGCAGCCGAAATCGAAGAGCATCCCATCCAATGAGTTCTTTGTTAGTCCGTGTTCTTTGAAAAGTTTTGGGATGTCGGAGAATTTTCCGAGGAGAGGAACCAGCCTGCCTTTGTACTCCTCCGTTTCGCTCAACTCACGAGCCAATTTGTGAGCCACGGGATCTCGATCCAAGGCATAGACCTTTGCCTCGGGACACTTTTCCAGTATACGGCGTGTGTGGCCGCCAGCTCCGAAGGTCATGTCAAAATAGATGCCACCAGGAACGGGTTGCAGGTAATCAATGGCGGTATCGCAGAGCACAGGAACATGAGGAGGAGCAGCCGCTTGCATGTCAATCGAGTTCCGTCTCAGCCAATCCAGTCTTAGTCTAGTGGGGATTAGTAGTCGCTTCATCTTGGTTCTACTTCTTTTTGGAGCCCGCTCCCTCGTTAATATATTGCAAGAACTCGGAGCTCAGCACTTGACTGCACTGGACAGCAGTTAATCCTGTGGCCGTGGATTCGTAGGTGCGCGGATACTTCTTGGCGTAGACGTTGCTTGAAAGCCTCTCCAGAGCTTCGATTTGGCGGTCCAGTTCCTTGTCTGTTGCTCCGCTTTCGAAGGTGGTAAGCTTGGTCACCTGCTTGCGGATCTGCTCGCCAAGATCCCTTTGTTTTGGGTTAAAGAGAGAAAGTTTTAATGGCAGTGGGGCAGCAAATGGTGTGGAGTTGTGTATCTATTTATCTCGGATGTTCGTTCCAGGCGGCGCAGCTGAGCAGGAGGTTCGTTCACTTTTCTCGGAAGTGTAATTGAAAACCATAAAGAAGGCCAACTGACAGGCTGACAAATATGGTCGTAAACTGAGCTTAAATATTTGTAGATAAATTTGGTTTTTAAATAAACTTATCTTACGTTAGCTATGTCATGATTTAAAATCTTTATTATCAAGGGCTTTAAATGCATATTAAAAGAGATATTGCATTTTGCCCCCAATTATCTAAAGATTAATTATATGCACGATTTTTCTTTGTCGATCATCCCATTAATTAAAAGTTATAGTTTCCTATCTTTAATACGGTTAATATAAAACCTGAGTACAATTTTACGAGCTTACTTATCAAGGCCATGGCCCAAAACAAATCTCTCTGGCTCCAATTGATAGGCGAACTTCAAAGCCATTTTCACTAGATTCAATTGACTAATTAACAAGATGTCTGAACGTTTTAAAAACTGGTAAGACAATGTAAGCCTTGTTAGCCAAGTAGACCAAGTAACTTAAGCTCAGGATCCACAATTGACCAGACCAAAATCAGCGGAACGAAATCCACAACCCGCCAATAATTGGATCAGCTGGTGGAACCTAAATTTCTTGGCGGGCCGGCAGATGAAAAACTTAATAAGCTAGGAAATCCCGCTATTATATATGTATGTATCATAAATCATGTGGTAAACTATAAAGCTTATAAATATTGCACTGTTGATATCATAAATAAGCGAACATTATGGTGTTGCACACGAGCAATATTTATTTGTTAGATAATCCAAGTAGGTTGCGCCGCCAGAACGAACATTTATTTATGGACAGATGTGTCTATTGCTTTGATGCTCACCTGCCGACTTTCGATTTCTCCGCTGGCCACTTTTCGAGTACTTTTAGGAATCTCTGGTATTGCGCCGACATAATTGTTTAAATCTAACAAATAAAATTAAACAAATGCAGCGCAACAAAAACACACGTTCTTGTGCAAAAAGGGCCTAATGCGTTTTGTGGTATTATATCGATAGCACTACGTCATTTTACTCTGAATCGATAGTCAGTAGTGTAGGACAGTAGAACAGCAGAAATTTGAATAAAACCGTTATTAATTTAAATCAGTTGAAACAATTTTCAATTCGCAGCTCTTTTTCTGTACTTATTATAAATATCTACTATTTAAGAAAAACAGTCAATTCAGATTAATTCTTGGTTTTATTTCACAACGACTAAAATGCGGCTTAAACAGAATCGTTTAGCTTAGCTAATAAAATTCATGCGTTCGTTTAAAATTAAGAGCATCATAATTGTTAAAAGAAAACTACGGGCTAATACAGGTTTACGAGTAAATGTAACGTGGTTATGAGAGTAGTGCTACCCCAAAACGGTTAAATGCTAGTTTTGATTTGTTTTGTCGATTTGTTGATAATTTCGCTATTGCAGATCCTACGCCCTTCTTCCCTCCGGCTTCAGTAGCTGCAACTTGGTGGAAATGGGTCTCAGCGAGGATGAGGACAATGGCGATGATGATGACGACGACGACGACAACGACAACGACGATGGTGAAGAAGATGATGATGATGATATGGATGTGGATGTTCCCGGGGATGAGGAGTACGGATAGATGGTGCTGCCACTGCTACTCGATGTGGTGAATCCCGGAGTCGTTCGACTGAATGGAGCCGGGTTGGAATGGGTGTGGGAGTACTCCGAAACGGGCTGGGGTTCTGTGCCTCGGAACTCTTGTGGCAACTCCCCTCTAAAGATCCCAAACTGCGGAGTGGTGCGAACTAGCTGCTCCAAAGGAGTCAACCCGTACTGGGAATGTCTTTGCTGAATTCCAAGATTATCCACTGCATCCAATTTGGGTGGCAATACCAAGCTACTATCCACCACCGACTTGCCATCGAAGGTGTAGAGTGCTCCACTGGGCAAGCTGGCGTGGGGAATCTTTCGGTTATCCGGTGGCAAGTAGTAGGTATCGATTCGCTCCGCAGCAGCTGCCACTCGATCATCCATCTCGAGCTCCAGCTCATCTGCATAGACGTCCTCCTCATCGGGTCCGAAGAGGTCATCCAACAGTTCCGTTTCCGTTTGCTTGGTGGTGCTGCTTGGTGGTGGCTCCTTTGTGGTGGTTGGAGCTGCTTTCTTGGTGGTCTCGTCCAGCAGTTCCTCATCATCTCCTTGGGGCAGTGGCTCCAGTTCCAGCTCCTCTTCGTTCAACTCCTCCCCGAATAGCTCATCCAAAGTGGGCTTTCTCAACTCCGAAGCGGAGGGCAGAGAGTGCTCCAAAGCTGCTGAGGGTAAACGCAATGCCGAAGCCGTGGGACTCACCTCCTTTATCTTAACCTTAAGAATCTTCGAGGCATTGGTACTGTCCAAAGGAGAGGGTATAAACATGGGCTCAAAGCTCTGGGTTTCAGTGCCTCCCTGTTGGGCAGTCAAAAATAGAGTATCCGTTTCCATCACCTCATCGATCTCGGTGCCAGGATCCTCTCTTCGATGAGCCACTTGGTCAATGATTTCCTTTGGCAGTTGGACACCCGTGCCGTCGGTTCTCATGATGGGTCGAAAACCGCTCTCCACGATCACGGTGTCCGGTTTAAAGCCTTGATTCACAGCAGGTCTCATGGCGGCGATTTCTTCAAGAGAAGGTTCCTTAACATTTAGACGTTTCACGAGGGGAATACTTGTGGTTGAACTGGAAGTGGAGATGGTTGGCGGAGTCACCACAGGCTTTGGTTCCACCTTCGCAGGTTGATTGAATAGGGCTGTGTTTTGCAGTGAACTTTGGGGTTCCAAATCGATATAGGGAACTGGAATTTTGGGCTTGCCCTTGACCTTCAGTCGTTCACCTTTGCTGATTGGCCCCAAGACGCCACCCAATTCAGTGGGTTGCCCGAGGAGCAAAACGGAGGCAGCCAGCGGTTGCAGCGGGAAGGGTTTCTCCTTGATGAAGGGTTTCAGCAATCCCGGAACCGGTTTCCTGTAGTGACTCACAATCAAGGAAGGTTGTTGCAACAGAACCGGATGCTGTTGCGGATGCAGGTGCGGATGTTGCTGCGGAAGCACAGGCCGCGAGGCGGGGACTTTCTTGATGGGAGCCGGGAAGGGACGACGGCCGGGCAGCTTGACCGGATGGAAGAGCGGAGCATTCTGCGGCGGACGCAGGAACTCGGAGAGTCCAATGGTTTTCTGTGCGAGCGCTGGAAGATTAGCGGTTAGATTGTGGTGATGCAAGTGCGGATGCGGATGAATATTCGCGGCATGCTGCGGATGGTGGTGCAGGCGATGCAAGTGCGGGGGATGGGGATGGATGATGTGGGGACCAGCTGCATAAATGGGCAGCTTTTGATTGCCAGGGGATGCGGATGCGGATGCTGAGGCGGATGCGGATGCGGATGGGGGGATGGCGGATGGAGATGCGTTCAGCTTGTGGGTGGCGTGGGTCTCGCCCAGCAGAATCTCGGGTCGCGAGCTGATCTCGTTCGGGATGACGTTCGGTTTCTGGTGCGGATTCGGGTTCTGGTTGGGATGGGGTTTCAGATTCGGATTCGGATTCGGTAGGTTCCTCAGTAGGCTCTCCTCGAGAGCCTCAGCAGCGCGGATGCCATCTGAAATCAGTTTGGTTATTTCCGAAGATTTCGTTATTTCAAAACTCAGTTTGGGCGGTGTTCCGTTCATATTGTGGTTCTTAATCAAATCGGTTTGGTGCTTCAATAAAAAATTATCGTTGGCGCTGACCTTGGTTTCGTGCCGCACGGACGCCTCTCCGGCGTAGTCCTCGTGCACGGGCGCCGGTTCCGCTGCCTCCGCCGGCAGTCGGATCTCGTGGCGATCGGAGGCGGCTCCCTTCAGTCCGCCGCCACTCGCCTCCGAATCGCATTCGTCGTGGACGTGGATCTTCCATCCAAGGTAGCGGTGCGTGAAGCAGTGGTAGTACACCGTGTCCGGCGTGCTCCTGTCCGGCTTCCAACTGATCACGCCCGGCTCACCGGCATCGCACTTGAGGGTCAGGGTGCGCTGGTAGGCGCCGAAGGACTGGTAGTCGTCCGCCGGAGGACCCTCCACGTCCGGCGTCCAGTTGCACAGGCGGCCCACGCCGGTGGGGGTCACCTGGCCGGAGCGGGAGCGATGCACTCCGGCGTAGATGCGAACGGCCTGCAAGGAGGAGTATGGTATGATATTAGAAAACATTCATAAATTACCTATTATAATTAATGATGCATTAAATCTAAAGGAACATCTCACCTTCTTCTCCTCTTCGCGTTTGTGTTCGTATCCTCCCACAGGATCATCACTGATGTAGAACGGATGGTACTTGGCTGGGATGTCTGGGTTGTTACCACCCTCCACTACGAAGGTGTAGGTCCTGCCGCGCACCACATGGATCTCGGGGATCAGGAGTCCGTTGATGTACCAGGAAATTCCCCAGCCAACATGACCTAAAATAGAAAATATTACGTTAAAAACAAACAGTATTTGGTACTTGGAAAACATATCCTATAAATATCTTATCTAATATAATATATAAATTCACTGAAACTGTATGATATAATTTAGTAATAATAGGAATTATATACCATATAATATAATAATGATAAACATTACATAAATAGGTATTAAACACTAAAATCTCACCTGTGATTGCTGGATAGCCATGCTTTCCACCCGTGGGACCCATCTGGGCGTAGAAGACTCCATCTTCCGGCTCGTGGCACTGGATGGCGGGGATGTCCCAGGCTCCATTGCTGTTCACTGGCTTCGGAGTGGGAACAGGTCGCCGTTGGGTGATGATGGCGGTTTCCTGGCGCCTCTGAGGCGGCTGGCGATGCAGTGCCTCCGCCCGGTTCTCGTAGAACTCCTCATCGGGCTCCACATTGGGTCTTCCTGCTGGGGGATAGCCTGCTCCTCCCGTTGAACTCTGGGCTGCGGGGGCGGAGTCCTCCTGTTCGGAGGAGTTGCTGCCAGGACGAGCTCCTTCCGGCAGAGGACAATTCCACTTGGGCTGACGGCCAAATTCAATCTGGTGCAAGTGTTTGTTGTAGAAGGTGTGGAAGGAGACCTCGCGGTAGTCATTCAGTGGTCCAATTGCCCAGACCACAGATTCCGCATCCGTAATCGAGATTGGAAGATCCAATCGATCCGTGGCAGCCAGGGATCTCTGGTAGGTCACAATCGAATAGCCATTCACCATGGCAGCGTTTAGCAGCCGGATGGAGTTTGTCTTCTCGGAGATCTTGGTATCGGGACAGGCGCCACGCCCACCGGAGCACTGCGCCTTGCCTTCGAGGAAGTAATCGGTGGCGAATCCATTTCCGGTTTGGGGATCCACCCAGGCAACCACTGCATCCGCACCAATCATCTGGCTGATATTCTTGTTCGGGGAGATTCCGAAGGACATGTAGTTGTTGGGTTCTGTGGGGATAGAAAATCATGTTTAATAGCTAAAATATTTAAACTTGTTTTTCCTAAAAATGAATACCTAATATGTTCTCTATCTAAAAAAGTTTCTTATTACAGAAAACAAAAGAAATTCAAATCATTTTAGTGATACTTTAAAAAACTTTAGTATTTATATTTAGAAATCCTTTTTCGAGTGCAGTCTAATTCTATAGGAAGTGTTTGCAAGCCCACAATCAACGAAAGTTGCTTGCCCCAATTCTGGCCTAACTAACCGGTCGGCAGGCATTTTCCTGGTGAAAATTCCTGTCGGCATTCTTAGCGGTTGCAAATTGCTGATCGCCGAGCTTGGAGTAAGACCAGTGGCACTGGCGGATGGATATGGCCAAAGTGTGCCCCCGATGCTCGCGATTGCAGATGCAGCGAAACAATCCGCCCGTTCCACGCGTTCCGCCCAATCTTAGCCAGCATCGAGTTGCGCAATAAAACCAGTCGTCATAATTCGCAACTTGTTATTCTGCCAGCGACGCCGATGCTGCTGCTGCTGCTTCTGCTTCTGCCATGGATGCTGCTGCTGATCGGTCAATTTGGATGCTAACTGGATTTTATTGTTGCCAACTCGGCCCCCCGACTGCCTGCTAACTGTACTCCATGAAATGTCAAAGCATCATAAATCAGCGGCGGCAGATGCTGCAGCCAACTTCTCCGACGAAGGCTTGTCACCAAATGGGATAGGTCAGGCCAAAGGGATTTGGCTCAAAGAGAACGCTTAAAACATTCCAAAAATGTTTGGAAACAGTTTCGAAAATTTAAAGATTTATGGAGATTTATCTTACAACTATTTGGTATGAGTTGTAACAGAATAGTTTTTAAATAGATATAATAATCAAATCCGTATTTTTCATTCCACCACAATCTTAAAACTTTACAAATAAACCTATTATAATCATGGCCTTTAAAGAATAATTCAAATATAATTATTTTGCTGTTACCCCTAAGATTTCTATTTTAAAGTGTCTTGATAATATCTCCATAAGAAAGTTTCAAAACCAATTAAAAATTAATAATCTTAATTATAATGCTTTTTACAGTCTGCTGAATGTCAGCGCCTGCCTTTTGAGGGCGTGGCCCAACTTCCGCCTATTAGAAACCATTAGCACTTAATGATCACCATGGACTTCCGAACTTACCCAACTTGGCCACCAATTGGACCACGATGCTCTCGCCGGCCACCGCCCAGCGAACCTCGAAGGCCAGATCGTCGTAGAGCACCTCGCAGTTGAGCTTCGACTGGAAGAGATTGGTTTAAGGGAAGGTTCGATTGGATCGGAAACGGAAGCGGATTCGGAATGGATTCGGATACGGATTGGGGGAATGTGCGGTGCGGTTGTGTGTGTGTGTGGGTGGGGAAGGGTGGTGGTGGTGGTGGGAGGGGGAGGAGAAAGCTTGGCCAAAGTCAGAATTTTGAGCATACCCGAAATGTTTGCATTTTTGTTTTGCTGTATTCGAAAGTTTTTTGCTTTTTGAATGGTTTTTATTATACAAAATGAAAAATGTTTTTTGAATTCGCTTGGGTGTTAGTAGATCACAGGAATATATGTGTGTGACTGGGTGTAGTGTGTGTTCTATGTGTGTGTGTGGGTGTGAGTGTGTTGTGGGTTTCGAGGTAGAGGAACAAATAGGATTCGGTCCCACACAGATTTCATTTTGTATAAGACGCTCCCGGAGCTCAAGCAAAAGCTGATCAAGACAACAAAACACAAATAACAAGCAGGTGAGTATTACATAGACACATATATTATAGAATGTGTTGCACATATGTATATATATATATAGTTATATATATGTATATTTTGGATCTCTCCTCCGCCGTCCATCCAGCTTACAGTCTAGGAATTTCCGGTCACGACTCGTGATGCCGGATCCGATTCGAATTGATTCGATTGATAAATATTTTGCATATAGTATACACAACAATAAATAGAGTTACACACAGTTACACCCATCAACCGCAATCAGCGATTAGCGATCCAAGATCAGCGATCACTGCTGCAGCTCGCTTAGGATCTGGTTGGCGTTCTTCTTTACCTGTGGACTGATTCCGAGCATTTTCAGCGAGGGAGGGACATTCAGGCCCTCCGGCAGGCGAACGTGGCCAAAATCCACGGTGAAGGCCTCGCACCACACGCCAAAGTGGCCAATATCGAAGATGGTCAGATCCTCCGGCAAAGTCAAAACGATAGTTTTTCTCTCGTAGCGACGGAGGGGATTCTCCTTGCCGTTCTCATCGGGAATCCTCAGACCCTCCGAGGTGGGCCTCTGTCCTCTGCCCACCCAGAATTTGGCATCTGCAAGTGGCATTTTTAAGAGAAATTTAAGAATAATCCAGGAAAGTGGTATATATAAATTTAATTTCAGTTCACTGCCTTAAACTTCGAAATTTCTAGAGTTCAAACTTCATTAAGTATTCCATTTTTTCAGGTTTTTCTTCAATATTAACATAAACTCATGACGAAATCATTTTATTGATCTAGTATAGATTGTTATTTGTTTTCTGTATTAGTACAAAAGCACTGCAGTGTGAATTCCCCTAAATGAGAAACCTTTTATTATAAATAATGCATATCATTATTATCGCTTAATATGCAGTATTCCACGAAAGCTATAAAAATGAGTTGTTTGTTTGCTGATTTTAGGAAATCAATTGAAATGGGTAATTGGTTTGTAAAGTGATAATAATTATAATCATATAATTAGCTGAATATTTAAAGCATATTTAAATAGCTGATATAATATTTAAATCAATTTTTGGTGAAGTTTAACAAACTTAATTTCTGGAATTTCTTTCTGTTTTCATTTAATAAACTCACCTGGCGCTTCTCCATCGTAACTGAAGTTTGGAACCAGCAGAGTCTGGGCGTCCACGATCACAATATTGTCGGAGGAAACGCCATGAACGCCCCTCAAAGCGTTGATCTTCTGCGGCCGAGGGAAGTCCAAGTTGGCCGGAATGGAGACATCTCCGAAGTTCACCGCGAACTCATCGCACCACACGGAGAACCACTTGATGTCGCGCAGGGTTTTTCCCTCTGGCAGCGAAAGGGTTACGTCCTTGTTCCTGTAGCGACGGGTCAGGGAGGCGGTTCCGCCCTTTTCGTCCCTCAGACGAGCGGCTCCTTCGTTGCTCGGCTTCGCCGTGTTGCCCACATAGAAGTAGGCAGCTGGCGCCTCGCCATCGTAGTTGAACTTCTTGATGAAGATGGTGCGCGAGTCCACGGCGTACACATCCCCGGAGACTCCGTGGTGCAGGCGGGTCAGGGCTCCGATCTTGGTGCCGTAATATGGGTAGGCGGCGTCTCCAAAGCTGGCCAAACCTGCAAGCAGAAACAATCAGAAGAATCGGTGAGCGAAGAAGCCAAAACAAAAGACTTAGGCAACAAACTTGGCGCTAGCTGACTCAGTGGGCAATGAATACACACCACACACGAAATCTCCGCAGCCACTTAGCGACCACTTAATTAGTCATACACTTGGGCAAAATTCGTGACCTCAGATTCGTTGAAATTTGATTTTACAAACTGTATAAATTATTAAATAGGAAAGTCAACTTCTATCATAGGCTTTTAAGCCAATCCTATTTATTATTTATAAGAATTTAGTGAGTTTAATTAAAACTATATTTTTATTTAGAAATAATTTATTTGCTTTCATAACAAATAGCCTTTAAAACTAATCTGTTATTGATTGATATAATTAAATTGAAGTCGGCGTGTGTTTCTTTTTGCTTTCAGTGCTTTTATTTACCATCCCACCGGGTTCAAGCCAAACAGATAAACCAAAACAATCAAATCAAACTCCAAAATCTACGCAAGCGGTGTGTCATAGCTTAAACTCGATTGAAGTCTTTGTTCTTGGAGCACAGGAAGTTTCGGATTTTCGGATTTACGGCAAATAAATTTGGAAAACAGACCGAAAACTCGTGAGGCGTGTAACACCAAAAAACAACAAATGAAAAAAAAACCAACCCGGTCTTAATGGGAACTAATTCTCATTAGGAGATGAATGGTTCTAAGCCGACTTTAATGGGCCAACTTTGTTTGCTTTTGTGGGCTGGCGAATTTCGTTTTGAAAAATTCCCACTTCACCTTCACAAACTTGGCTTTGCCGCTTGTTGCTTTTGTTTTTGTTGTTGTTGTTCAAATTCAATTTATCTGTGTGTTTATTACAATCTATTTGTTGCTGTTGTGTGTGCTTTGTTTTTTGCATGGGCCATAAACACGTTTGGTTTTTTAACTGCCATCAAATGGTTTGTCGGGGCGACATGGTCGCCATGGCCTGCAGTTATTTATTTTTATTTTTTTTTTATTTTTGACTTAACCCGATTGGTTTTTTTTTCTACCCGCTGGCCGGTTCACTTTTCCGTGGCCATGGCTTCGGTTGCTCCAAATTTTGCGCAGACACGGACGAGTCTTTCTCGTTTGCCAGAATCTCTGGCCAGAATCTTTGGGCCAGTTTGTCGGCCAACCGATTTTTGCCCAGCCGCCCGATTTCCGCCTGACTTGGCCCAGAATCCATCATCGATTTAAAGCTCAAAGGGGGCAGTTGCGAGATCGTATGCAAAATGCCAAAGGTGTAATTAAAAAGCACCGCACGGCAACAACAAACACGGAGCAATCGCAATCTTATTAATGATGATCGCGCTAAAGTCAGACGGAGCCATTAGGCACTCAACTATTGGCCAAGCAAACCCAACGAACTGGTTGGGGGCAATTGCCAATCATCCGAAGCGAAGCGACTCGCATTGCAAAATCAATAAATTCCAAAAGCATAAAATCGCACACAAAAAGACATAATTCAATTGGATACACTTGTACGTCAATATTTTAAGATGCTCGATATTTAAATGAACACAACAGAATGTCTGACAAAAGCTACTTCAGAATCCATAAATACCGATTCGATCTTTCGAGATTTAAGTGAATCGATTTGTTTTATAATTCGAGCTCTTAATGTTTTTCAACTTCTGAAGTTTTAAATGTCGCATTTATACAGGTTAAAAGATATAATTTGTTTTATTATTTGAACTCCTAATGATTTGAGAAATTGTAAAACGCGCAATTAAAAAAGAAAAATAAATTTGTATTTAAACATTCAACACAATATAGTATTACAGCTTAAATAGACATATTTGTCTTAACGCTTTTGTTAAAGTTTTTGTAATATTAAAATCCATGTATTAATTTCTGGTTTTCTGTACCCAATAAATATATTAAATATACATTTGCAGTACGCTTAATGATTCGCAACTCTCGTTAATTATTCGCACTGAGTGGCCAACCTACTTTCCCAGCGGCTTTTCCAGTCGCTAGGAGGTCTTCGAATTGGTATCAAGGAAACGAGCCAGCAATTTATGCAAATCTCGGGTGGAAATGCTAATGCAGTCCGTTGTCAGTGGGACAATTGTGGAGTTGGTCAGCGGTTCAACGGTCAGCGCGATCATAAAAGCTGATGAATATTCAACTGGCTGGCACCGCACTCACAAAAGATGATATATACATCGGATTCGGATTCAGATTCGGATTCAGATTCAGATTCGGAATCGTATTCGTATTCGGCACGTCATTGAGCTGTGTGGGCTCATTGTCTGGGCCATAAATACAGGCCACTAATCTAGTTTTTCGTATCGCTCAGCATCTGTATCTGTCGCTCTGCCTGTAAATGTATCTGTATCTGTCTCTGTATCTTTATCTGCAGCTGTGTCTGCATCTCGCTATCCGTTTAATTTGCATCACAATGGCACTTATAAATCATTGCCCGGGGTACTTACAGCTTAATGCGGCCAATAGGCCAAATAGCATCAGCCAAGGTTTATCCTTCATTGCCAGCATGGCTAACGGTGGCTCGTGTCTGCCTTCGCTTGTGTGTGTCAACTGCTGCTGCTTCTGCTGCTGCTGCTGCGTTTCTGTGTGGCAGTGTGGGTGTTTTGGCCAAAGGCCCTGATATTATTTAAATTTTTTGCTAGCAGGATGTGCTTATCCTGGCTTTGGGAAACACGCACACACTTTGTAGTGAGATCTTCACTCGCGAGTCGAATTCGAATTCGGTTCGGTCCACGGACCTTTTTTATTTTTTCTGAGGGGGTTTCCACTGAGGTTGGGATCTCGCGACCGAACGCAACGTACTCCAAAACCGCACTGATCGCCAACGACGCTGCGTCTGCGCTGTCAGCGAAGAGTTGAAAAACTTTCGGATCCGCCGACGTCGACGTCGCCGTCGCCACCGCCTTCTCTCCGCTCCCGCTCTCGCTGCCGACGTCGGCAGAACTGTTTGGAGTCTGGTTTTGCCCGCAATGTTCCTACTGTTGCTGTTTAAGCTGTTGCTGTTGCTGCTGTGTGTTGTTGATATGGCTCTTACTGCTGCCAATGTTGCTGCTGTTACTGCAGTTGGTGTTGCTGTTAAGCTTTTGTAGTTGCTGCATCTGCACTTGATGTTGCTGCTGCTTAAACTGTTAATATTGCTGCTTAATTTTAAATAGTTTGCAACTCCAATTGCTGCTGAGAGTGTTTCTGGATGTGCTTATTGCTTTTTCTAAATCTATTTCTATATCGAAGTTGCTGCCAATATCATTGATCTAGCTGCTGTCTTTATCTTTATTGCGGTTACTGCTGTTGTGCTTAAATATTGCTGTTGTAATGTTCTGCTGTTGCTACTTTTGCTTTAGCTCTGAGTTTTGCTGTTGCTGCTGTTATTGTTATTGCTCTTACTGTCACTGCTGTTATTGTTGTTGCTGTTACTGTTGCTGCTGTTACTGTTGCTGTTGTATCCACACTGTTACCGTCTTTTTGTTTGTGATAGCCAAGCCAACCACTGACCCACTGTTGCTGCTGTTGTGTTGTTGTTGTTGTTGTTGCTGCTGCCCGTCTCATCAACGTCGGCAATAATTATTGCGCCGTCGTCGCCGCAGTCCTCTCTAAAAACGCAAAACTTCAAACGTCTTTCTGCCGCGGCGCCTTTTCGGCCAAGTTAAATACATTTTTTTTGCACACCTTCTGTCATTTTTCTTGTCTTCTCTTGAGTTTTTTTCGTTGCCCATTTTGCTGTTTGTTGCTGGTGAATTTAAATGTTATTCTGCGTGTTGAACTTGTTTCGCCGCTAATGCAATTTATTTTTGTCAAATTATGGTCGAAAGCTATTCGGAAATCTCGAATACTCGATACCCACTTTTGTTTGGCATTACATGCGGATTTTATTTCCTGCACATTTAATTTGTTTATTCCCTTTTGCAGCTGTTTCCGCGATAGTTGTAATCTAATTTACACCAATTGTCTATTTTGACTCACTTTAAGGCCACTTAAATATATACTGCTGATTGGTATATAATACTTACTTTAAAATAAAAACAATTCCAATAGCAATGATTTTTATTTATTAACATTCACAACATAACTACAAATTGATTTTTTGTTTGTTTATGTGCTGTGATTGCTGATAGGTTTATGCTGATATTATCGCACCTTTCCAATTGAATAAAACGAAAAAAACAATTGGCTATTATTCATTCCCAATTCCCTTTCATTGCACTTTCGATTGTTCCCGCGGTTACTGGATTGGATTACCGGATTACCGGATTAGATAATCAGCTGTGGCTGCTAATTTTTCGTGATGGATTAAATCGCCGGTTCGAAGGTGAAAGAAAGCAGATTGGCAATTCGTGATTCCGTTGCCAAGTTCACAATCTGGGGATCGCTCGTTTTTGCCTGCGGCTTCAAACTCCAAGAAAGGGAAAAGATCACAATAGGTCAGATTGTAAGTGTGCAGTGAGCAGCGCTTGTTAATCGTTTGCTTCCCGCTTACATAATTCAATTAGGGCCTCGGTCATAATGGAGATAATTTCTGGGAGTCCAACAAAGCGGCGACATTGGACCAAGTCAAGGCGAACTGGAAGTCTAGGTTTGGGCATCCTTTTGTTCTTGGCCAAGGCCCTGAATCTTTTGTGGGCTTTGTGGCTGCATTCGGGCTTTGTTCGCCATATAACGCTTGGCTTATAATCCCTCTTTTGTGGCAGCAAACAAAAGCCAACGGCGAATCAATAACCTCTGGCCGATGACGACGTTTATATCCCCAAATGGCGTTATGATTTTTGCAAATTCAAATTAGGTTTCAAAAGATACAGATTTGCCTAAGTGGTGCCAAAAACCGTTTTTTTTTCCATCGATTTTTGCAACTTTGTTGGTGGTTTGGAGCAGACGAAGGCGACGTGATCGGCGATTATACATGTGGAGCGTGTAATTATAAGGGAAATGCTGAAAATACTGAAATGAGGCAAAAACGCACATTTCGTATAAATTACCGACAGTCATCATGTTTCAGGTCGCCTCATCCATATGCTTCTTTCACTTTGAAAACCGGCAGACGAACAAAAAGTCATATTGCTGTTGTAAAACGCTTTCATAATCAACTCGCTGCGAAGGTGGAGCCATCGGGGAACCTCTTTTTCCAGCCGCCTTTCCCACTCCCCCAATCCCCTTCTCTTTACCGAAAAATCAAGATTCGCCCTGGACTACACTTAAAAAAATACTCACGAAAGGTTGATGTATAGTTGTAATTAGGAATAAACAGCACACATGGTTTTTTTCTAAAAAAAAACATTTTATTTTAAACTTTAACTTATATTTAACAAAATTAGCTATGAAATCTTGTCATATATCTTATGGGTAGCAAATTCTAAAAATAAAATTGATTTCCGAAGATAATTACATAGTATGTAATATTTTAATCATTTATTATCATTTTTGAACCAGACACTTATTTCGAGTAATGCATAACTTTTTTGTCCAGTGTGGGACTGCCTCAATGTGCGTAATTTGTATTGCCATAAAATTAGTTTTTAATTTCCCAACTGACATTGGGAACAAAGCGAACCCCGACCGATCCAGCGGCCAGACAAAAACACGAACAAACATTATTAATTTAGCTACCACTTTTGGCTGCCCAGCTGGTCTTCTTCTGGCCACTTTCGCATTTGCATGGCCAACTCGGCTGGAGCCCATTAGATTTATGGCTCTAAGCCGGCGCCTGTCCTCTTCTGTCTCTTTCAGCGAGTTGATTGATCCGAAAATTATGCACGAGCACGATAAAGTCTGGAGATCCCAAACAAATCCGACCAGCCACATCCATATCCATGATGATGGAGTCCGAGTGTGTCGCGTAATTAGCCTTTGTTATGCGAATTTCTTTGGGTGGCTCTTATCGTTGATTTATAACCACCGGTTGGAGGTGGCATATCATCTGGTGGATCTCTGGCCTCAAGAAAACCGAACAGTTCATCATCTTTCTGGTGCGGAGAAAGTGGCGGCTCGCTTCTGGGATCCGCATACTATATAGTGCATTATCTATGCGTCGGCGATCGTTTCCCTTTCCTGACTCGCTGTCAGCATTTCCTCTCACTTGCATCATGCATTTCAAGTATCGCAGTATCGTATCAAGGTGCGAGCTTTCGATTCGATACTGCTGCCAAGCAACGCGGGCTAAGGTCAAGCTCAAATCGTTCGGATCGACATGGGGGGCCTGTCCCAAATAAATAAAGTGAATTAATAGAAATATAGCTGGTCTATTAGGCACTGAAGCTACATATTTGAAAATTTAATCACGAAAAGAAAGCAAGTGCTGAGGAATCGAAGAGGGGATTACCCTAGGACTTCGAATTTAGTTAACCACTTAATTACAGAATATATTTATTATTCATTTCTCTAATACAAATGCATTTTTTAAACATTTTTAAATCTCAATAATTAGATTACTTTTTCCAAAAAGCTTTAATTTTAAATTATAATATGTTACTTAAATGTGTTTTATTACATTTTAAGCCCTGCCTAATTTTGTATTTAAAATCTCCATTAATCCAATGATGAGACAAATTTTAATGGCTTAAAAACAAGAATAACTGCTCAGCCAAAATCTCATTGACGGTGACCAGTTTATGATAATAAGCAGATCCACTGCTGACCACTTAATTACAGGGTATGCAAATTGGAAAGGCAGCTTAGCTTAATTTACGACCCGCTGACAAGGCACATTCTAATCAGCCGAGTCGTCAGTTGGAGCGAAAATAACATTCACCTTCTATGGCCAAAAAAAAAAAAAACGAAAAAATAAAAATAATAAAAACAATGTGAACAAGGCAAAGTTGAATTTGTTATCAGTTTGTTTGTTTAGCCAGGCCAATCGCGTGCCTTAGATGTTAATTAATTTAATTAGTCGCGCACACACAGCCAAGAAGAACCAAGAGATGACCTTGATGGGAGTGATGGAGTGGGAGCCCCTTGGCTGCACATTGTTTATGACTTGATTGTTCAGCTGCGAACACCTTGCCACCCACCCCTCACCTCCCCCTTCCCCTCCCCCATTCCGCCCACCTGCCGCTTCTTCGGCGACTCAAGGTCACAGCAAATCTCCACGATGGCTTCTAATTTGAATTTTACAACATGCACTTACTTTTATGCTTTGCATTGCGAATAATGCTGTTTGTATTTGCCCGTCTTATTTATGGCCGCAGCTCGTGTAATTAATCTTCTGTAAAGCAGCAATAAATGCGAGATGCGAACTGCAAAATGCGAATGCAGCATCAGAAGTTCGAGTACAAAGTCGCAGATAGATATTTTCGCTGGCTGGCATAAATTTCCTGGCTGGCTTATTTATCATCTTGCCATTTTCATTTGGCGACGCTTTATGGCATTTTCTGTGGAAGTTAGTAGCTTGACTAAGTTGGTGGGTGTGTTGCCAATTGGATGCTGAATGCTGGCTGGCTGGCTGGCTGGCTGGAGGTGCAGCCAAAAAGTGGCACTTACGTACTTTGTTTGTGCATACTGCTCAACACAGCATTGATGAGTTGGGCAAATATTTGAGTGTTTACCCACAAGTGCGGCAGACAAGTCCGAAATTAAGACGTCAAGGAAATATATAACAAATATTAAATATGCGGCAGGCTTGAATGGTTTGAGATGGAAGCCTGTTTGCTTTGTTTGAGTATTTGTAAATACAATTTTAATATTTATATGGAGTAAGTCGACTCAAGGCAAATGCAAGTCATTCCAGAATTTCCCACGACTCAAAAAAACTAATTAAACTGGTTTGAGGTGAACAAATTTACTAATTACCCTAAATTATGAAAAGGGCAACTCTCTCAGCTTTGTTAACCACTGTTAAGGCATCTGCAATTAGCCACAGAGCAACAATAGTTTTGCATACATTTCTTGGGCGCCGTGAAAATCCGATGAGGCAATCGCAGTTACAACAGCGAACTCAGACGGAGAAACAAACGAATAACGGCCCACGCACAGACGGTAATTAACTGGCACATGGACAGACAAAATGCACTTAAAAAAAGTATGCAGCTTTTATTTAGTTACATAAACTCATATGTACTTTTAAAAAAGCAGATGGGTTTCTGATTTCTAAATATAAAAAGTTAAAAAATGTTTTTTTTTTACGTTTATAAATAAGAAAAATTGGCTAAGTTTAAATTTTAAAATATACTAATTGTTTTCAACGTATTTTCAGTAAAATGTTAATTTTATTCGGAACTATTTCTTTTGGTGTATTTACATGCGAACCGAAATGCACCAAAGTAACTTTGTGCATATGACTTGAGGATGCCTTTTGAGCATTTGTGTGTTTTTTTTGTATGTAATTATGTTTGTACCAAGATCCACACAATGAAGACATGTGGGAGAGGCAGACCTCCGACTGATGATCACAGCCGACACACGTGTCTTTTAAGACAAGAAAGAAATGGGGTTTTCCATAGGGATAGGAAGGAAGAGCAATTTAATGCACACTTGATGGACACCAGAATTAACTGGAAGATTGCGACACAACAATAGCTCAGAGCTACAGTGGACAATCTAAAGTCATATTTATTTATCAAAGTCAATGGCTAGACTGACACACTTTAAGAGACTGATAAAGCAAGAACTAGCGAAAGAAATACGAATAACATTGAAAGAAGATTGCTATATGAATCCGAAGCTTTTATACCCTTGCACTTATACGAACCTATATATAAAACCTATAAAATGCAATGAAATAAGCTACCCTATTAGTTTTTTGTTATGTTTTTTCAAGCATACCCAGGAAACGAAAATTCGTATATACAAAATTCCAAAAAAGATAATAGTTAGAACCAATACACACCAATTTACAGCTTTTAATTATTGGTTTTATTTATTATTTTTTTCAAATTGGTGTTAACGAAGTAAAATATAAATATTTTTAAGGTATTAAAATGTCATTTTTATTCTTAACAATTGTCTTAGCCGAACTATAATACCCTCCTCATGGAAAGGGTATAAAAACAAAGCAACGACACGCGCTGAAAGTTAACAGAGCCGCTCGCTGTTATCTAACAGAGGTGGAGAGCAATTGACCGCTCTCTATGTTTAGAATATGTAACGGTTAAGCGCCGCGTGGGAGCTACCGCCTCTCCCTCAATTTCAGACCGTCTGGTATTTTCAAGTGTTTTCGAAAATTTCTCTACCGATCAGTTTGAAAAGACACGCCAAGCAGTGCGAAACGTTCCGATCGCTGGGAAAATAGGAAAAATTAAGAACCCAAACAAAAGTTCGGAAGTTCGCGTTCTTTCAATCAAAAGTAATATTTTGTTAATTAATTACTAAGCAAACAAACACAAAATGCACAGCAAACTTTTGGACGAGGTAGGTAATCAAATTAAGCCAATAGATCGGTTTATTTCACATTGGTTAATCTATTTTGGAACGATTCGAATAATTTATTGGAAGCACTCTTAGTTAGTCATCTTCATCCTGGGATGACTTGTTTCCTCGGAGTCATCGTGTTATTTACAACCATCTGCATCATAAACATTTCGTTGGCTCGGAAAATTCGTTGGCGAAAAAGCATTCTTTTGTTGTTGCAGAATAAAGAAAAGACAAAGCGTTATTGAGGAAACGTTTTCAGATTCTGGAAACTTAACCAAATTAAACAAACAAATTAATGACAAGTCGGACTACTAGACTTGTTTCCAGACGAAGTGTGACGCTCGTAATAATAATATATCCCCAAATGGGTCTTAATTATGGTTTAAAGTAGTTTGTAGCCAAACTGGTTTTCAAAGAGTCACCGTTTTGATTGAATTGAATATTCAATGCAGCATAAAATTTACTTATTTTCTTATCGGCATTAAAAACTAATAAAGGTGTGCACAAGTTAGATATTAAATAATCAACACCCAGAAAAATACAACTGGAAATCTAAAGATAAAGTAATATAAACTGGTGGTTCTTTTAATAACTAACCACAGTTTGCAGTTACTAATACCTTTGATAAACAATAACTTTACACAAATACTTTCGGTTTTGAAAAAGACAGTGTTTTTCTGTGCGTTTCCATGTTAGTAGCTTATATTTTCAATCAAGAAAGCATTTATTTTCTTTGTGTAGTCAGACCCAAGTTCTAGTTCAACAAGCCATTACTTAACATGTGGGTTACGAAATAATGCAAAACAGCGAGTGCAAACAAGCTTCGCAGCAATTGCCATTATCAAATTCAGACCGATTACAGAATCAGCTGGCTGAGCATTTTACATCACATACGGGCGGCATACGTGATGAGTGCCACTGATTGTTGACCCTCTGCTGTAATTTTCCATACACACACGCCTTTGTAATGGAACCGTATGTATAGAGACCCTCCGGATAACACCCCTTCCTTCGCCAGTGATTTATTTTCGCGGATCTGTTAGCGTCAGAAGATCGACAGCTGACCCGAAGTCTTTCCCATTTTCCCACTTTCGATCACTTCAGGTGTGCTCGTTCGGCGATTTTCCCTCGGCTGCCTTTGAGTCACGCCAACTATTTTTACTCTCGTTTTTCATCTTCAAAATTCTCGCTCAAGCAATTTAAATTTATTTTATTTAACCACACTCACGCCTTCGGGAAACAGGGAAAACGAAGAGAGTGAGAGCTCCCACAACAAAAATGATATATGTATATTACTTTGTTTACCAAACCGATTTTCTATTGCTCTTCTGTCGGCAAATGAAATGTTTGGCATAAATCTAAGAGGGATTGATTTTAACACAAAACAATCTATCATTATTTGTTTAGACGTCATTTCACAGTGTTTTAGCCGCATTTGCTGATGCAAAGCCATTATACCCCTTTTTGAAATTTATTTAGGAACAAGAGAATGTGTGAATTTTCAATTTTACGTTGACTGATTTCTGTGAATGAGCACGGATTTCGGTCTGTGGGTTTTTGTCAGGCGGAATTAACATTTTGACGTGCACAGGAATTTGTTAATTAGCATACGTTAAAAAGGTGAACAAAGAGCACTTTTACACTAGGAAAAAAACTACAAAACATCATCATAGAAAAGAAAGCAATTCGTAAATTTGTACACCATTCTACACGTCCAATTTTAAAGCCAGTTGAAAATAATTTATACCATAGAAATATTTATAAAACAAGATAGATAAGAAATATGAATTAAGAAGGTAGCTTTAGACTTTTTTTAGATTTTGACTTATACATAATGTTTTGATGTTTTTAGGAACTTGTTTATATTTATTTATATTCTGTTTTATGGCAGTGCACTTAGTTGATATATTAGTAGATTAGCCCAGGGTTCGAAATTGTTCGCGCGTGCCCATTAGCAGTCGGTCAATCGGTCAGTCGGGGAGATAACGAACTGATCCAGCCCCCGCAGAGTCCGGTCGGAGATTGTGGGATTAGCCAGACGAGACGGCGCACCCGATAAGCTACTATATGCTATATACCAAGAAAGATTAGCTCGTGAATTAACGGAGACCTTCACCCGCTTGCATACTTCCAGCTGAACGAGAATGGCTATATTGTCATCGAGGATTTCCTCACGCCCGAGGAAGTGGACTCGCTCTTCCAGGCGGGAAGAGCTCTCTGCCTGGATGCTCCCCAGAACAACCGGAAGATCTTCAGCACCATCAAGCAGGAGGATGCGCAGGGCAAGGAGATGTACTTCATGGAATCTGGAGACAAGGTGCGCTACTTCTTCGAGAAGGGAGCGGTGGGAGATGAGGGTCAGCTGCTGGTGGATCCCATGATCGCTCTGAACAAAGTGGGACATGCTCTCCATGTGGAGCACCCCACCTTCAATGCGATCACCTTCAGCAATCGGGTTCGCGAGATCTGCTGGCAGCTGAACTACAATCGCCCCGCCGTCTGCCAAAGTATGTACATCTACAAGAATCCCGGAGTGGGAGGGGAGGTCACTCCCCACCAGGACTCGTGGTTCCTGCACACCGATCCCAACTCGGCGGTGGGCTTCTGGCTGGCCCTCGAGGATTGCACTCTGCAGAATGGGTGCCTGCAGTTCATCAAGGGATCGCACAAGAGTGGCGTGCACAGGCGGTACCTCCGCAATCCCGACAAGGAGGCCAGCGAACTGATGGTCTACGACCGGGCAGCTCCCATCTATCCGCAGTCCAGCTTCACCCCGATGCAAGTCAGCAAGGGTGAGTATCTAAAAATATAGATATCTATTATAGAGCTTTAAAAAAAACCTAGATAATTATAAAAATTTTTATTAGATCACTCCGAGTTAACCAAATCAATAGAGAACTTGTAATTTTAATTTGAACTTGCATGTTCTAAGATAGTCATACTATTTTTGAAAGACTTTAGACTGACACAAATGTTTGATTAGCTGCTTTCTAGTTTTTTCTTTTTAACGTTTCTTATTATAGAATGCCCAAAAACAGTTGTTTGTTGAGTACTTATCTTTGTTCACTATGATAACTTTTAAGCACGTTTTAGGAAAATAAACATTAGAATGATTTAGAATTGGGAATTCCCAACCATTTGCTAATCTACAATTTGTTTTGTATCTGCTTCAGGCACTTGCATCCTCATCCACGGAAATGTGGTGCACAAAAGCGAGCCGAATCGTTCGCAGAAGAGCCGACATGCCTACACTTTCCACGTAATCGAGACTGAGAATAATGTCAAGTATTCAGAGGACAATTGGTTGCAGGCGCCGAAGGACAAGCCGTTCCCCGTCCTTTTTGAGCGCAAGGCCTGAGGATCTGATCGAGATCGTGATTCGGTATTTTCGCATATAAGTCTCTAGTGAATTTTTAAGTTTCGTTGTACACGCCAAGATGTATGAAGTAATTGTAAATGTAATAAACAAACTTCCTATTGTAATTTTGATTTTAAACTGGATTTAAGCATGGATCAAGCAGTGTGTGAGCTGGTCCGAAACTTCGCTAACATATAAGCAGTTTATTGGTTATGTTGAAGCAGTTGTAAGCAGTTGATTGTCATAGATAGTAAGGAGCTAATGACCGACCTTATAACACTTTACAAATAAAATTTAAATGATAACATACACGAAGACCACGGTCAAACGAGTACAGTAAACACACAATAGCGAAGACTTGTGTAACAGTCAAATATTCAAACCTAAAAATTAGAAAAAACAAAAATATAACTGAACTTGAAACAACCTGTAATGAAATTCACTTGATAACAACAAATCTTCTTAATGAGTTTTGACTGTTAATCTTCTTATTTATTGTACAGAATTATAATCTATACCCCCAGTGAATTTAACTCAAACAAGTTATTCCACCGTCCAAAATTCTCGTTCGTTGGATGCATGAGAACATTTTAAATTTGATAAAATTATCTGGGTCCGAGTCGCGCGTTGGCGTTACGATCGTTAGAGAGATAACTCTATTAGCAGTAGGGCAGTGGAACTCGGACTCGGACACTAGCTAACACAAGTCAGTAGGCTGTCAGCTCTCAAGCACAACAGATCGTGGTATACTATATAGTACTTTGGGATCCATTACAATGTCTTCCAACGAGTGGGAATCTGATGAGGAGATCCAGTATTTCCGAGAGTATCTGCGCATTCCGAGTGTGCATCCCAATCCAGATTATGGTTAGTATCTGAAAGATAATTCTGACAAACAACAAGTGCACCGATAAAGACAAACAAGCAACTCAAATGTATACTATATTTTGTTTAAATATTTTTTATATTATAATGTATTTTATATTAGATGGAAAATCAGTTAAATTTTTTTTTGTTATTTACACTTATAGTACCTTGCGTTGAATTTCTGAAACGTCAGGCAGAGCAAATAGGTCTGTCCATGAATGTATATTATCCAGCAAATGATCAGAACCCCGTGGTGATTCTGACTTGGAAAGGACTTGAGCCAGAGTTGCCTAGCATTCTGTTGAACTCCCACATGGACGTAGTGCCCGTTTTTCCGGAAAACTGGACTCACCCACCTTTTGGAGCGGAAATGGACGAGGAGGGTCGCATTTTCGCCCGAGGAACTCAGGATATGAAATGTGTGGGAATGCAGCATCTTGCAGCGGTTAGAGCACTGAAAAAAAGTGGGGCTAGATTCAAGCGAACTATCCACATCTCATTCGTGGCGGGTTGGTATTTAAAGTTATTTAGTTCATTAAGATTTTCTTAATATTAATAGTTTATTAATCAGATGAAGAAATGGGTGGTCGCCTCGGAATGAGACCCTTTGTGAACACACTCGATTTTAGAGCCCTTAATGTGGGATTCGGGTTGGATGAGGGCTTGGCTTCTCCCGGCGATGATTTTCCTCTTTTCTACGCAGAAAGAGCAGTGTGGCGTAAGTGACCTTCTTAGTTACCTAATTTTTGAATATTTTATTATCTATTAAATTTATTTATTCCCCCAAAAGGTGTTTATTTCCATATAAGTGGAACAGCAGGACATGGATCCCTGTTGCTGCCCAATACAGCAGGCGAAAAACTAAACTACATTGTTGGAAAGATGATAGCCTTACGGAGAACGCAAGTCCAGAGACTAGAAAATAATCCAGAATCGGTAATTGGCGACGTTACAACCATTAATTTGACCAAAATCAGTGGAGGAGTTCAAAGTAATGTGGTGCCTCCTCAACTGATGGTTTGCTTCGATTGTCGATTGGCTTTGGATGTGGATCATGAGGAGTTTGAAGCTACTGTAGGTTGTTAACTTATTATATTTTAATCATTTAAAATCATATATACTTTATTTAAAGCTCCAAAAATGGTGTAATGAAGTGGGAGGTGGCATTGAGATCACCTACGAGCAAAAACAACCCAAAGTGCCTCCCACCGCCATTGATAATAGTAATCCCTTCTGGCTGGCTTTTAAAAAGGCAACCGATGAGTTGTAAGTAAAGCATCTTAATTAGACTTTTACTGCTAATCTTAATATATTGTTTTTATTTCAGAAAACTTAACCTCAAACCGCAGATCTTTACTGGTGGCACCGACAGCAGATATATTCGCCAAGTTGGCATTCCAGCTTTGGGATTCTCCCCCATGAATAATACACCAGTACTTCTCCACGATCACGATGAGTTTCTCAAAGCGGATACCTATCTTAAGGGAATAAAGATATTCCAAAAAATTATAAGCAACATAGCAAATGTTTAAATAAACCCCATTATCTACCCTTTGTAACATTATTATATAAACATAGTATAAATAAACTTATATGTGGTTAAAAAAAAATGACATTGACACACCTTTGGCATCCATATCTTGCCTTTATGATGGATTCTTCTTGAGATAGCACTTTGTCTGGAGATAAAAGGTGTTAAATTTAGATTACTTTCAGTAGGCAAGTTCCAGTTTTGGATTCAGTTTTATCTGAGTTCTTGAGAGAAACACAATGGCCGCCACGAAGTGGGAATCCAATAAGGAGATTGAGTACTTTAGGGAGTATCTTCGGATTCCAAGTGTGCATCCCGATCCGGACTATGGTGGTTACTTAAAAGATTACGTAGTGTTCAAATAGATAACTTTTATTTTTTTTTTAGAGCCTTGTGTTGACTTTCTAAAGCGTCAAGCAAAAGATTTGGATTTACCTATACAAGTTATCTATCCTTTCAACGAACAAAATCCTGTGGTGGTTTTGACATGGGAGGGCCTTCAACCCGAATTGCCCAGCATCCTACTGAATTCTCACATGGACGTGGTTCCTGTTTTCCCGGAAAACTGGACCCATCCACCGTTTGGGGCAGAGATCGATGAGGATGGTCGAATTTTCGCCAGAGGCACTCAGGACATGAAATGTGTGGGAGTGCAGTATTTGGCAGCCATCAGGGCCTTAAAAGCAAGCGGATTGAGGTTTAAAAGAACCATTCATATTTCCTTCGTGCCAGGTGAATATATATAATATTCTTTACATTTTCTTATTAAACAGAATATATTTTAGATGAAGAACTAGGGGGCCGTAAAGGAATGTTACACTTTGTTTCCAGCAAGGAATTTAAGTCGCTTAACATTGGATTTTCTCTGGACGAGGGAATCGCCTCTCCAACTTCTGAGTTTCCAGTTTTCTATGCCGAACGAACCGTGAAACGTAAGTAAATCATAAGTACAATGCAGGTTAAAGCTAACTATATCTGATTCCAGGTGTAATATTTAAAATCAGTGGCTCAGCAGGACATGGCCTGCTTTTAATGCCAAACACTGCAGGCGAGAAATTGAGCTACATAACCCGAAAGATGATGGAGTTCCGGGAGGGACAAGTTAAACGGTTAAAAAATAACCCAGAACTACAGATCGGCGACGTGACCACCATTAACTTGACCACTGTGGATGGCGGAGTTCAGAGCAATGTGGTGCCTCCTTTGCTGACCGCCTGTTTCGATGTTAGATTGTCTCATAACATAAATGTTATAGAATTCGAGGCTCAAGTGCGTTTGACATACAAGAACTTTTAAATATATTAATATGAATCCTTTTCAGTTGGCCAAATGGTGCGAAGAGGCTGGTGGAGATATCGAGCTTGATTTCGGTTTAATAAGAAGGAAAGATCACACTCCACCCACAGTGACCAATGATTCAAATCCATTTTGGGTGGCTTTCAAAAGTGCCACAGATGAACTGTAAGTTGTAAATTATGCTCCAAGCACTTATATCTATTAATATTATTTTTCAGGGGTCTTTCAACCAAACTTCAAGTGTTTCCCGGAGGCACTGACAGTCGTTATCTACGAAATGAGGGCATTCCAGCTTTGGGATTTTCTCCAATTAATAATACTCCAGTGCTTCTGCACGACCATGATGAATTTCTCCATGCAGAGACCTACTTAAAAGGTGTGGAGATATACAAAAAAATTATTGGCAATTTAGCCAACGTTTAAAGTTTATATTTGAAAAATCGTTAACTAAATAAATGTTATATTTTGTTTTAAAATTTTTAAGTCGACATTTACTCTGCACGTAGATAAGTATTAATTTGTTCGCCCAACTTATAACTTACATTACTCGGTTCGATACTTAGCTGTCTTTAGCAAAGGTTTCAACCTAACATGAGTAACAACTTATCTAGACCATAACCATTTTATTTAGAACATTTTAGTTTGAATTTCGTCTAAGACATATTTAAAATATTATTAATTTGCTTAATTATTTTACTGTTTTAATTCCTTTAATAACTAAAAAAAACTGTACGAGTTAAATGAGTAAATTTTGTTTAAGTACTAAACTCAACAAGGGATTTAGGTGCGTGAAACTTTTGCAGGTTTTTTATGCATTGTATTTTTTTCAAGTTAAAAATTTGAAAAATTGCATTTCCGAATCAATTAAATAAGGTTTATTTGGGATTTTTTTTAGGGAAATTTTTCCTCAGCATGTTTCGAACGTAAAATGGGACCTTAAGCCAGTATGTCATTATAACTCAAGAGATCCTCAACCGAAAAAGAAACCCAAAGTAATAATTCCCTCCGCCAGAATCTGAGTAAAACCCGCAGCACAATTTGGCCCCCGAAACTGGCCGAGATTGTCACACATGCCGCCTCTTTAGTTGGCCAAGTTTTTGCTGGCCTTTTGTTGGCTGCTTTTGCTGCTGCCGTTGGCTCTTACGTGTAATGTTCTCTCATGTTGCAAAACGATTTGTTGGACGCAAGATTTATGAACTTGTTTCGCCTGACAGCCGACAGTGGTTAAGGTAACACACACGGCAATCTCTGTTCCAGTGTGTGTGTGTGTTTGTGTGTGTGCGTGAACATGCCGCCTAATTAGAAGATTTTAATTATCTGTTTTCAATCAGCTTCCATTGAGATAATGATAATGCTGCTGCCGCAGCCTGGTTCTTTTTGTCCCCCTTTTCATTTTGTTTATTTCTTAACTTAATTTTCTGCCTTTTTGTTGTTGTGGCCATTTAAGCCAAAATGCTGTTGACATTTCGCTGGCATCGGCGGCTCGGACGGAATCGGAATCGGAAATTCGGTAAGGTGTTGTTGGTATCGCGGCCACGCGCTCGCTGCCAATAAGCGCTGTCAAAGTGTCCCAAATCGATTAGAATTGGTTTTGAAAGGGCCGCTGACAGGCGCAAACGGACCCGCGAGCAATCATCCTCGATACAATGGCGCGGATTACAGTTGTCTGTCGTGTTCTATGGACTCAGGACTCAGGACCCATCGACGCTCTCTGCTTCGGAATGGGTCTGCATTGGATCTCCCTTCCCTTTCAGCCAGTTGCGTGTTTAAGGCCAAGAGGAGAGGCGATGTTGCTGTCATTGACGATTTATGTCAACTGCCGCCGCGGCACAATATTCAAATTCTTTGCATTCACTCATCACTTGTCGCCGGCGAGCCGCCTGTCCTCTCGCCGCTCGCGAGATATCAGCCAGGGGTGTACTAAAGGGGGTCCAAAGGGGATCAATTTCCACCAACATCTTAAAAACAAATATGTATTTAAATCCATAATCAAACGATTCATTATATTTATTATAAAACGGGTTCCACTTAATAAAATGGTTTTGCTTTAAAATCCTTTACCCCATTAAAAGTTGGAATATGTAGTTTATATACAAACTAAATGTGCAATCTCCTTTAAACTTGACTGTTGACTACGTCACTGTATAACGACAAATGCTTTTGAAGTTTAAAATCGCTGAGATGCAAAATAATGGTCACGAAATACCTGACGAGGGTTGTTTGATACAAACTAAAACTGAAGAAGGTTTGACATAAATTGCATCCACAACAAATCACAAAATATATACAATTTTGAAATAATTTGTTTGCAAATGAAGATTTGAGGAAATGAAAACATTACTTTCCCAATTCTGAGAACTTCCGTTTAATTGTATCACCTGCTTAATGAATAAATTAGTGACTTCCTTCTCCCAACTTTTTACACACTTTCGAAGAACTCTTTAAACCACCCACTGGGCAGGTTTGGGCCCAAGTCAACCCAAGCTCATCTCCACCTAGTTAACTCGCAAATTGAATTCAAAATCAAAATTTATTTAACTCTAATGGATTTGGCAACCTGAGTGGTTGCCCCGCCCCCTAAAAAGGGACTTTGGTCGGTCGGTTGGTCGGTCCTTCTTATCGGGACTCTGGAGGCTGGAAGGTGGATTCTGGGTACGGAATCTGGAGTCTGGATTCTGGATGCTGGATTGTGAATATCTGGTGGCCGGTTGGCGCGTTTTCGCCACGCCAGTCTGACTCCCTTTGCGCTGCCTTGATTTGACAGGATTCATTGTCTCCGCCACTTCAGTGACTTCAAGCTTACGCGCCTTCCTCGTCTTGGCCTTCTCGCGAATCTGAGCTGGATGCGTATTGACAGTTTAAATGCGTCCATCACTTTGCCTCAACTTGCCTTCCTCCGCCGCTGACGCTGACGGAATTCATTTAAATACATTTCGGCCCCAAGGGGCCAGACAGGGCCACTCGCAACTCGCATCTCGCAACTCGCATTGTTGCCCACAAGATTTAGGGCACTGCCCAAAAATTAGTTTTGAATATAGGAAAGAATAACATAGTTCTTAAGAGCAATTTTATAATTAATATTATAAATGATAAAACTCCTAATAAAGAGCAGCCAAACTAGTTACTTTCTTATTTATCTCATTTTTACAGACATGAGTTTATGTTTAAATTTGACTTAACTTTATTTGTAGGTAATCTTACCACTATTCAATTCTTAGGTTAACCAGTTTTACCAATCTGAAACCATTTAAAAATGTATCTAAAACTATGTTAAATTATAAAGAATATTCTTTATTATTTGTTATTTATCGTTAAGACATCTGAACTCAAAAAAATCGTTGCATACTTTAAGGAACCATTTCGAGAGATTTCAAGACTAGAGATTTCTTTTTAAGGTTTGCCTTAATGAAACGTATTGTTATCAAAAAAATCATGGCCAGTTTCAGAAGTACAAACACGTTTTCCCTCAGTGCATTGGGCAGTAAATTGGGCCGCGTCAGAGTCAATCGAATGGAATTTATATGCGGCGCATTTTCGTGGCCTTTGATTGACTTGTGTCACTTTGTCTCATTTGTCAGACGAACGCCTTCGATGGCTGGGATACTGGGATGCCTGGATGGCAGGGATACTCGGCATCAGAATCCCTCCTCCTCCTTCTCCGGCGATCCTGGCGCTTAAGTGTCAGGTGTCTCACTTTGGGCCACTCAATTGAAACGTTCGGCCGGATAATTCGAGGACGAGGGCCCAGTTCTTTGTGGCAACTAAATGACACGAGTCTGCATTCAAATGCCCATCAAGTTGTTACACAGTCGAGCGGGCAGCGCGTATCCTTTTGGGCAATATCCTGCCGCAGAATCCCAGCTCTCCCTCGAACATGGGATTTATGACAGCTGAATGGGAGTGGTGGCCACCCAGGGGGAGTGAAAAAAGTAGAGGGAGGGAAAAGGAAGGGGGAAACGGAAATGTCCTGCCTGCTAACCGGAGATATGTTTCATATCCGCAACACGCTGGCCAACTAACGTGCTAGATTTTCACATTCGCACTCGGATTACCATTACCATTGCCATTACCTTCACCATTGCCATGGAACCATGGAAGCATGGCCATTCAGTCTCGGAATTGAATGCCGCATCTGAGTTGCCGTGACAGCCAAGATTTGTTTGTTTGCCCATCCAGTGCGGCTAGTCCTAACCCAAAAGGGTTCCATTTTCCATCCAGATAGCAGCCAATGTCTGATTGAAGCCGGCTCCATTGGCATGTCCTTCAATCCGCCTGACAGCCGCAAACTTTTGTCCGCCGATCCTCGCATCCCCTCCCCAGCTCCGCATCTGATTTGGTATCTGATTCCGCTCCTCCCGCCGCTGTTAACATGGCCATTAATAATTGTTCACCGCAGAAGCAGTGGTTGAGGTGTTCAAAGTCGTCGCCGCCTTCTGCCCGCTGGCCAAGTGCAATTATTAACCAAAATACTGCAATTGCTGCCGCTTGAAAAGATCGCATTGTTCCGCCGAATCATTCACAATTGCTTTGGGCCAAGAAATCGCAGCTTGTGGTGGAGCTTGTTGAGGAAACTTGAGAAAACTTTCATTTAATAAATGGTTATACAAGAAATAGGTTTTTTGAGCATATTTGAGATATATTTATATTAATATTTCTATAGATATTTCTATTCTAGATATTTATATCCTTCAATTTAATTTATTCTTTTTAAATCTCTGGTTGCAAATATATGAACTTTATGTTTCCTGCGATAATCATTTATATTCTGCCACAGTTTTTTGTTGCCCCACACACAAATTTCAGCATGAATGAATTAACATATCAAGATCAGCCGAACCCATTCGGATATCTAAAAAAAAAAAGAGTTCGCTTCATGTTGCAGCCTTGATTTAGATAATGCAAAACACCAGATCGCGAGTCGTCGCCGACTACTTGTTCCAATTATGATTGCGCCAGAAGTTTTTTGGTGGCCAGCTGCCTTCGAGTTGCCGATCTTGCAACGCCCAGAGGTGTAGCCAACTGGCTGGCAAATTGAAAGCCAAATGCAACCGGCAAAGACGCCCCCGAGCAACACGCCCATGCAAGTTGAAAGTTGCACAGGAAAAAATATCAATAAAATACTGGACCCTATTATTCTGTTATTCAAGAGTTTGTTTATTAAGGAATGCCTCATTTAAGGTAAGAATCAGCTTTTTAGTATGTTTAGATCCACGATAACTATGTTAGGTTCTACATATTAAAGGATACTTTCAATTAAGGGTTCCCATTCTTTTTTAATAGTTTTCTTCTCGGTACAAATTCCTTAGCTTATAGGTGCAATTGAAACTTAGTTTTCTTTCCGTGTGGCGAGCTGGTAACTTGGTATTTGCCACAATTGCCTGGCACTTTGTAACTGTCGGCGGCTATTAAGCGGCTCATTTTTTGCCGGGCGGCACTACGTGGGCATGCAAATGCCCCACTGGCTACCGA